CTGGTCCGGGTACAGGGACACTGTGAATTGCATGAAGGCCGCCAGGACCTGACCCATGATGCTCGGGATCCTACACGTCACTATTTCGGAAGCTCGAGTCAATAAGAGACTCCCTCAAAGCCCTGCCTCCCCTAGCAGACATTGAAGGGTCGAAGGGGGAGGGGAGTGCTTGAGGGCTCAAGGGGGAGGGGAGAGCTGCAAGAGAGCATATGTTTATGTGGTTTAAAGTTTAGAAAGCCCAAGGCGACACTGCGCAATCCGCATGCCCTGTTCCCGAATCACACCTCAAAAGCCCTAAGTCAGTTTGGCATGTCTTGGCTTGCCCCAGAACCTCGGTGGAGCTGCTATTGGCTAAGCATTGCAAAGTGCAGTTCTGTGGGGCCTTATTGTTGTTCAACCAGAGTCACCAGCTTTTGACCAGGGTCCCTCTCATCAAAACCTCAAACCGAGGATTCACTGCCCGCACATTCGTCCATAGTCCCGAGAATCTTGAACCCAAAATACCGCAGCGCATATGTAAACCGAGAGAAGGGACTGAGGCTTAGAATCGCTGGTCGGTTGCGAGCTTGGCCTGTAGCGGAGGTGCCATGTCGGGCACTGGCGATGCAACAGCAACGCCCCCTTGGCTTTGCTGTTGCGGCTGCAAGGCCTCAGCAGAAAGATCGTCCCTGCACTTCCCAAAGAACATTAAAGAACAGAAATCTGAACAGGTAGTGGGCTTGGACGCTGAGGGTACAAGCCCTAGAGGACAGATTTGAAGGTTCAGTCTCATACGCGACCAGCGGGTGGATGCCGAAGTGGGATCTTTCGAAACTCGCACCCGGCTCCATCAAGAAAGTATGGTCGAATGCAAGATGCCCAAAACCTGTCAAAGGCCTTGAGACACTCGAGCAAGCGTCTTGATGCGGACTCTTTGACATGGACCTCCCAGAACCTCTGAGCTCTCAAAAGGAGCAAACAACGTACAATTTGTGCTTCCAGCCCAAGACGATCCCCAGCTCTCGAAACTACTTCCCCAAACCTCAGCTGCCATTTCCATAACTGAACCGCAAATGCAGGAGGCTGTCATGAACCTGAGTGTACAGCGGAGCCTTGTCCGTGCCCCGGACACTGCACAACAAAGAAAATCCGAGGCTGTTGCTCGCTCCAAGATCCCCTGGAGATGGGATCGGAAGAGCCTGGGAGAAGGCACGAAACGCCGAATGAAACGGTGCTGGCTGATTCACCCGACTTCACTTAGCGAGATCGCTGTTGACTTGAACTGCAGCTCCTGCAACTCGGACATGTACAGCGACGCTCTTGGTCTAAGCCTGCGAGGGTTTCGCCCACTGGCCCATCTACGAGCTCTGCCCACGAACCCCTTGCTTCGCAAACACCCGAAACTGTCAGCAATTCAAGCCCAGGCCGAATGAGCTGGCTTGCCACTACAGCATCTAGACCTTGAGCAGAACCTAGATGTCCTGTTCGCTCCTAATGTACCGCACGTCGTGTAAGGACCGTATCACTTTCGGCAGCTGAACCACGGCACTCTTGCCTTGCATATCCCAGCTTGCTCACATTGAGACGCCATGTTAGTAAAGCGGCGAGAAGATATCCCCAGCTGCTTCTGTCTTGGCGCTGTCTGCCTCAACATGTATTTTTGTACCGAGGGTATGCAAGAAGGAGGGAGTGCAAAGAGTTGAGTTTCAACATACCGTACTGATGAAGACCCCCAGGGCCGCAACCGATGCAACACTCCGCGAGGTGCTACCGAACAACTTCCAAACAACCTTCCAGGGTTACTACCAACCAAGTGCCGCAACTGCAACTGTCAAACCCACCCGCTCGAAAACCTCTAACCGATCACAGGTCCGGACAAGAAGATACTGGTACGCCCTATCAAACTCTCTGTCCTGCAAGCTTCCCTGGCCTATCTTATTTCCAAGCTGGATTCCTGTCTGCTGTGATGGGGGTGTTAAGCCGGCCAGCCGACCACAGTGACTGCTGCGAAGTACGGGAGGCTGGTAGTCCAATGCGATGTGAAGCTCGTGCGCAGTGAGATAGCTAAACTACAAACTCACTACATGAAAAATGTGTTTACAATGTACTATAACAATGACTACAAATGCAAATGTGCATGTGTATACATAATGTATATGCGTTCATCCACATGCGTATCCATATGTGTGTGTACACAGCCCACGAGAATCCAATGCAATGAAACATGGTGATACAATATGACATACTAAAACCTAACCGAATCTAGCCTAGCCCCATGCAAGCTGCTACAAAAGATGTTTATACAATATAGTATATTTACAATGCACAGAGAAAACATGTAATCATACCACAGTATATACGATGGTTAACAAACATATAATACAATACAGCATCATGCAACTTATGATTTGCCATGAAAGACTCACCCGAACAACTTGTGTACAGAACTTTTTTTCTGTACGAGATAGATATACTATCAGAAAATGCAATAAAATGTAGTATAGTTCAATATACGTTAAGACTGTTTAATATAGGAGCGAGTATTTATTTTGTCTATTTTTCTGGTTTTTTTTGTATATTTTCCTGGTTTTAATTCTGTTTTCCTTGGTTTTCGGAATCTAGCCTGGTGGCCGTGACCGTTCTCCACCTTTGACTGGAATTCTTTTTTGTGTATTTTTCTGGCTTTTTTTGTTTATTTTCCTGGTTTTAGTTATGCTTTCCTTGGTTTTCGGAATCTAGCCTGGTGGCCGTGACCGTTCTCCACCTCTGACTGGAATTCTTCCTTGCGTATGTTTTCTGGATTTTTGTGGATTTTTCGGTTTCAAAGCTTCCCAAACTTCTTCGCTCGTCTCGCGGCAGCTGCTGGACTGTTAGAAGCTCCTGCCACAATGCTGCCGTGTCTCTCACACTTCTTTTTTGCCCCGCGCGCTTATAGCATCCGCGAAGCTTCTGGATTGAAACTCTAAGACTCTGCGGTTGCGGTCTGGGTGGAGAGGCGCCTGGGACTGTAGAAATAGATTGTATGGCCCATGTCTGCTGAACTTTAATCCGCCCTGATTCCTGCACCTCTGCCCTAATGCTGAGAGATCAACGACCTGGAGGATGTTTTTTTTGTGTTTTTTTTTGAGGGGGGTGGTATTTTTTGTTGGTCCGTTCTCTTCGCAAAACACTATGTTCCTACGGGTTCCCTGTTATTTCCTTGGGCTTTGCTTGGCTTTTCCTCAGGATAACGCTATTTTCCGACGGATCCCGCGTGTTTTCCTCAGGTTTTCCTTTGTTTTTCGTAGGGAAAACACTGTTTTCCTACGGCTTCCGTGTCGTTTCCTTAGGTTTTCAGCAGGATAACCTACGTTGCCTTAGTACTAATACTAGTACTAGTACTAGCACTAGTAGTAGTAGTAGTAGTAGTAGTAGTAGTAGTAGTAGTAGTAGTAGTAGTAGTAGTAGTAATAGTAGTAGTAATAGTAGTCGTAATAGTAGTAGTAATAGTAGTAGTAGTAGTAGTAGTAGTAGTAGTAGTAGTAGTAGTAGTTGTTGTTGTGGTTGTTGGTGGTGGTGCTGGTGTTGGTGCTGGTGTTGGTGCTGTTGTTGCAGTTTGCTGCTGGTGGTGTCGTTGTTGTTGCTGTTCTTCCTGTTGTTCTCGTTGTGGTTGCATGCCTTTTGCTGTTATTTGTTACTGGTGTTGCTACTGCTCTTGGTGTTCATGTTGTTGTTGCTGCTGGGTGGAGTCTTTTTCTTTAAGGTTTGGCGGCCAGGTTATGTTTAAAAGGTTTGGCGGGACATGGGTTCGTTTGTGCGTCAAGCTATTGTTGGGGGGATTCTAGTTTCCAGGGTTTGTTTGTCCGTCAAGCTGTCGGGGGACGTCAAGCTATTTGGAGATTCCAGTGTTCGGGGCTTGTTCCTGCGTCAAGCTCTTGGGGAATTCCGGCTCGCGGCCTCCCCCACTAGCAAGCATGATGCTCCCATGGTTGGTCAAAAAACGCGTATGTGCTGTCAAGCAAGCACGCCACTCTCGCACACCCGGCGCATGCTTCCCAATTGCACAAACACTTTTCACAAGGTGAAGGGTGTTGTTTCTAATTAAAAGATTCATCCTAGGATATCCTAGGTATCGCGGGTTTCAAAAACGACTCCTATGCTGTCATGCAATCACGGCTTATAGCAGCGGGGGGGTTGGGGGGGGCGCAACCCCTTCCAGTTGCAATCACGATCCTCGTACGGCTGGTTTGCCACAAATCACATGCGGCCGGGGGTGTTTTAGGGCGGCAATCAAGATGCTCGCATGGTTGGTTTTAAACAAAAATATATGCTGTCAAGCAAAGCTGCGGTCACGCAAGCTTGCACATGGTTTAAAGCAGTGGGGGGGTTGAGGGGGCGCAGCCCCCCCGATTTGCAAGCATGATGCTCGCGTGGTTGGTTAAAACATGCGTATGTGCTGTCGCGACTCCTATGCTGTCATGCAACCTGGCACACGGCTTACACAGCCCCCCCCATTTGCAATCACGATGCTCGCATGTCTGGTTTACAACAAAATCTATGCGGCGGTGCGGTTTAAGGGGGGCAGCTCATGAGGATGCTCGCATGGTGGTGCTTTCAACAAAACGCATATATGCTGTCAAGCAAGCTCGGCACTCCCGCACGCCCGGGGCAGGCTTTCCATTTGCAAAGAGACTCTTTGCATGGTGAATGGCATTGTTTCAAAAACACTTATACTTTATGCAGGGTGGGTTTCAAAAACGACGTCTATGCTGTCAAGCAAGCTTGCACACAGCTCGAAACAGTGGGGTCTCTGGTCTTTGCTTCTTGCTGTCTAATTATCCTGCTTTCGTTCTTGGGTTCTTTCTTTGCTCCGTTCTTTCTAACACTCCTTCTGGTCGTCCTTGCTGGCTTTCTGTCTTTCGATATTCATTTCTTCTGTTCTGTCTCTCTGTCTTTCCTGCGTTCTTATTTCCTTGCTTCTGTCTGTCCTTCTGTCCTTCCTTTCTTTCTTTCTCCCTATTCTGGTGTGTTGCTTTCTTGCTTTCTTCCTTTGTTCCCGTCTTCTTTCTTTCTGTCGTCCTTCTTTCCTTCCTTCCGGTCTTTCTGTCCTTCGTCCTTTCTTTCTTTCTCCTCTCCCGGTGTCTTCCTTTCTGCTTTCTTTGTTTGTTTCTTTGCTCCTTTCTTTCTTTCCGGCTTCCGTTTCTCTCCTTCTTTCTTTCGTATAGTATTGTGAATACAAGACGATATAGCATGATAGAATGTCAAAATATAATATAACTCAGCATATATCAAACGAAAACGATTCACCATAAGAAACGTGTGAGGATGGCAATATCTTCGAAGCATGTAGCAGAACGTGCTATACCATATTACTTTCGACTAAGTTTTTACGATGTTACACCATATTACGACATGTCTACTTGTAACTATAACATGTTATGTCATCGGTTTTATACACCTTTTCAACAAATACAAACACAACTTAGTATAGCCTCTACAAAAGAAACTCCAAGCAAAGACGAGACAAAATGATGTGGCATAGTAAAATTTCGTCAGAGATATGAGCAGGTGGTAGAATTCGACATGAACAATTTTGTATAATATGACAGGCACACTGGTCCTGAAGTCTGAGTGAGAAAGCACAGCGGTTCCGTGTGCTTGAACCTCATACCTACATAACGACCTCTCTCTCTCTCTCTGTTCACGCAAACTCACAAAGCTTGGGATGGATTCAAGACGGATTTCCAAGCCGTCTCACAACAAGTCCAGCACAAACGACGCCTCGGACAGGTAGTTCGCCAGCCGGTTGCACAGCGTAACCATGATGGGCGTCATGTCTACATTCCTGGAGGATGGGGTAGCAGCAATAGAACACCCCGACCAGCCCCGTATAGACACCTACAGTCCGACAGCTGAATCCCTCGCCCACAGATGAAAGCTATGCACATCGATGGCTTTGCTAACGGTCATTCCAGGCTAGCTGTTTCAGTAGTTCAGTGGTTCATTGCTGCAGGAGTTTGACTGCGTCCACTCTGAAACTCCGTCCTGTCCGCAAGACTTGCTTATGGAGTGTATATTAGCTGAAACGCCAGCCCTTCCCAGAAAACACGCTCAAAGCTCCCAAGTCCCCCAACCCGGGACGCTTGCTGACACGCACAGGCCCCGGCGGCAGCGCCCGAACATAGGATGCGAGCATCTGCTCGAGAGTGCGAATGTGGAACCTCAAGGTTCCGTCTCAACGAGTGGGTCATGCGATTCATAACTAAAGCTTCGGCTGTAGCTTCTACTATCGCTGTGGGACAAGCAGGCAACAAGCTCAAGGTCTCAGGCTGAGAAGGCTGGGTTGATTACGAAGTGGAAGTACGAGAAGAGTGACACAGCGAAGCATGATGTGCACCTACAAGACAGGGCATGGCAATATTTGTATGCTTGCTATTCAACGCAAGTGCAGTATGCATGCGCGGGTACGGGCATACCCGGCATCGTAGTCGTTATCATCCTCACACCAGCACCAGCACCACTATCACTACCAATATTACTTCTTCTTCTTCAGCTACTACTACTACTACTACTACTACAAGCAGCTGCTACTGCTGCTACTATTGCTACTACTGCTACTACTGCTACTACTGCTACTACTGCTACTACTACTACTACAACTACAACTACTACAACTACTACTACTACTACTACTACTACTTCTACTGCTGCCACTGGCAGGGCTACTGCCGCTACCTCGACTGCGACTACCAGTGCTAATACTGTTCTAATTACTAGTACTACCGTGAATGGAGGAAATCTTGCACCGCTTGTAAGATATGTTATGTAGCTTCACCCCCTTCTTAACATTGCTATGAGCACGGTGCTTTACAAAATCGTTCTACTGACATAAATCTTGCACCGCCCCAAGAGATCTGTCGTAAGTGTTAAGAAGGGGGCGCGGGGCTGTGCTTGTATGTGTACTCGAAACAGGGTGTGTAGTTGGTGCAAGATTTCCTCCATCCACCGTAGTACTAACAACAGCACTGGCACTAACCGGCACCAGTACGGAAACTTTAGTACCGGTACTACGTCTAGTACTAGTACGACGAAATATTCCACTAGTACTAGTACTAGTAAGACCACGACAACGACTTCGACTTACGACTTACCACTTTTTAGCACTCGCACTCGTACTACTTTCTACCTTTTACTTGTTAGCTACTACTTACGACTGACAACTAACTGCAAACGACTACTGACTGCTGAACTAGTGCTACTAAGTTGCTACTGCTACTACTACTACTACTACTGCTACTACTACTACTACTACTACTACTACTACTACTACTAATTACTATACTACTACTACTACTACTACTACTACTACTACTACTACTACTACTACTACTACTACTACTACTACTACTACTACTACTACTACTAGTACTACTACTACTACTACTACTACTACTACTACTACTACTACTACTACTACTAATTATCACAAGACTACTACACCACTACTGCTACTGCTACTGCTACTGCTACTGCTACTGCTACTGCTACTACTACTACTACTACTACTACTACTACTACTACTACTACTACTACTACTACTACTACTGCTACTGCTACTGCTACTGCTACTGCTACTGCTACGGCTACGGCTACGGCTACGGCTACTGCTACTGCTACTGCTACTGCTACTGCTACTGCTACTGCTACTGCTACTGCTACTGCTACTGCTACTACTACTGCTGCTGCTGCTGCTGCGACTGTTTCTATCTACTGCTTGCTAGCGATGCTACTATCAATTACTATTGCTACCACTACCACAACTACGACTGCTACTACGACGACGACTACTACTACACGGCCACTGCCACTCTCACTACGGATAGGACTGCTACGACTACGATGCCGACCACGTACTGCTGACACAACTGCCGCTCAAGCTGCAGCACTGTCCTGTCTGTTGTTGTTGCTGCTGCTACTCCAGCACGGCTACCACCACGAATGCCACTGCCGCTGCTGCCACTGCCGCAGCTACTGCTGCAGTTTCCTGTTGCTGCTACGATGGCGACGAGGACGACGCCTAGTCACCACGACCCGCACTGACACAGTAACTAAATTACTCCTATTCCCTTGCGAGATGTGGAGTCTTGATAGGCCAAAACACTCGTCGGGGAAGACTTGGATCATGCTCTCCAGCAGATACTGTTGGGACCTTTGGCACCGCTGGGGTCACACGTAAAGTTGGATACCTCGAGAGAAACTGTTTTTTCAGTTTCAATGTCCAAATACTTTCAGCGGGAGAGCTTTGATCTACATCGTTCAGTCGTTGCACTGCGTCGCACTTCATGGTGGACCGCCCAAAAAAAACTTTCGTACCAACACTGCTAATGCAAGAAATTAGCGTAAGCACTGCATACATTCAACAGGCTTCCAGCATCGATCCTGAACTTCAATGCCTCACGATGCTCCAATTCAGCAGGAAAGTCATCAAATTCAAGCCTCTTACCAAAAACCCCTACCCATGTGTGTCAGATTGCATTAGCTCACCAAAATGCAAGGCGCGACCGCCCGGCGCCGACTTAATACAAAACTGTCCAGCCGAACAAAGCGAGCACCCCGCATCACGTCCTTTACCGAGACAATGTGATCCAGGATCTTCGGGAGGGCTGTCTCCGCATAGAAATCCATGGTCATGCCTCAAAAGTTGATCACGTGCAGTCTAGGGCGCGAGTATCGCGCTCAGCATTCCGTAGGGATGTGGCGATAGTCTGCCTTGAAGATCGTAAACTCTGAATTGCTGAAAACATGCTTCGTAGCCTTAACAACCAAGGAATTCCGATGACTTGAGAATCTTGACCCAAAAGCTTTCCTGCTAAGCTCAAGAATCGTTTGATGAGTGCGGCGCCGTCCAGCTGACTAAGTCGAACGAGGTTGGCGCCAACGAGCACTCGCAAATCCTGGCAAATTCGGGATCACAGATCCCTGGCCCTGTTGAATGCAAAGTGGCTGCTAACTCTGGTGTCATGATGACCTGCATTGACAAGCTTCATACCCAGCTTCGATATTAAAGAACACATGCACTTCAACAACACAAGTTAGCTCGGCATGCAACAACCTACGCACGTTCAGGACATCCTAGCTGCAAGCTCCCTGCCACGAAAATACCGTCATACCAGAAAGCCCATAACTCCTAAGCACTAAACCGGATGAACCTTACAATGTACACGGGTTCTGCTTCCAGCGATGGGCTGGGCATTGCTGTCCAACGCCACTCTACTTTTCTCAAAACTACCAGTACTATCTGGTATCGGAACCATGCTCGCCATCAAGTCGTGGCAATCAACTCGTGTTGGAGCACACCTAAAACTTGGCCAGGGCCCCAAATTTCCTACAGCACCCCGAGGCCATAGCTTGCACGCCAAGTGCTGCACAGCCATTGCTGCCCTGCACCCTCAAATACTGAGCACTCACAAGGAAACGCATAGAAATTCGTGAGCCCTGAAGCATCTCAAGGTTTGAAAGCGTGTAGTGGCAATGGGCTCTGGCTTTGAAGTTAGATTTGCCAGCTCTGCATTCCAAGGTCAATCCTCTTTGACGGCCGGGCTCGTCGGCTCACGGCCAGTCTGCGGCTGATGAAATGCAATATGCAAACAACCATCTTCAAACCATTCCAGCCACGCGATCCCCAGGACTCGACACGCTTGAAAAATCAGTCGAGATGCATGGCGCTCTCTTTCTCGTCGATCTTTTTCCCTGTCAGCCACAGGGCATGACTTCATGACAGGCATGAAGACTTAATGCTGCACTACGTATCAGGTGGATTGTGCAATTTATCTAGCGAGCCTGGCCATTTTTGCTCGGTTTTCCACGCGCCGTTGCAGGATTCTTGCATGTGAGTGCTGGTCAGGGCAAAGACTTAGGCTGGGCAGTTTGCGGTTGCACACGTACGGCTGACACTGAGCGGTCCATGGGGTTCTGACTACAGCCTGCAGGTCGTAAGCATCCTCACCCAACAACACCAGCCTCCTATACACAAAAAAAGTGAAAACCATGCCCAACGCACCAATGCTGCCTGGTAGGGCCTTGATGCTGGATGCGAACCTGGCTGTCCGAGTCGCATTGCTGCTTGGAGCTGTCATGGGTAAGTTGGGGTTCAGATTCAACAACGAAATGCATTGCATGGTTGTATCTTCTCGCCAGAAAAAAGAATCCAATTCCTTGCAACTACAGGAGCTCTGCCATGCAATGATGCAATGGTTGCAGATTGTCGATCCAAGATTTTGAGACCCTCCCTGGCTGCTGAAAACTTCAGAGTTTTTTACATGGGAAGGAAGGCACCGGGAGGCTGGTCTTTGTGAGACATCTGTTCCTGGACGTTCTGATCTGATACCGCTCACAGCCCGATGAGCCCTTTACCTCGGGAACAAAAAAAACACGCAAATCAGCGGAAGCAGCCCGGACATCACTGCACCGGAACTGTCCTGGCCGGAACTGTCCTGATCGGGCTCGGAAGCCAATCGATTCCTTTGGACCCACTTTGGCCCACTGAGGCTTCGGCCCAGAGCCGGTTGCTCTCCTGTGGGACCAGCTTGGGGCTTGTCATTGCAGAACCGCGAGCTGGGTTCTCGGTCATCCTTAAAATAAAGAGCTACAACTTCTCATCGATCAATGAGTGATCGTGGCCGCATCTAAAGGAGACGAGCAACTTAGTAAACCCGTGTTTCACGCGCGATGCAAGTCAAAACACATGCAGAGCACTGACAGCCTCTAATTGAGACGAGCAACTTAGCAAACCCGTGTTTCACGCGCGATGCAATTTTGTGTTCCAGAAGCCGCTGCACGTCAACTGGCAGTTGTAGTGCGGGCCACGATGCTTTGGGTGGCAGCCCTGTGTACGCGACGGCAGACGCACGTAAACCCACAACAGTGCTAGTCGCCTTTGTGCAGCACAGCTTGCACTGATCCACAGCTTGACACTATGTAGGTGGACTCCGCGGTGGTGCATTAAACTCGGTCACTCCTCCACGAGTGTACCATCGCACCTTGTGGTCTGCCGCGAAGTGTTGGGGAAGCTGTGCATCTGGAGGAGTCAGATCGTCGTCTTACATCGTGGGCCGGCTTGGCCGTCTTGCCGAAATGCATATTGGCTCTTTGCTACAAGATCGTCCGCCAAGGTAACCAGCATCAGAAAGACTCAACGCGCGAAGGATGGCAAGGACCCCACAACCGAAGGTTCGGAAACCCCTCTTTCGCCGGCCCAAGCCTACATCGCTCAGCTCTCTTGCTGAAGGCCCTTAACCCATAAACTCTGAAAGTCTTGCTCTAATCCACCTAGAGACATCCGGCAAAGTCCTTGCAAGCTGCGTCGCCTGACTTTGCAAACTCCTTCACTCGTAAAGCCGCAAAACCGTCGAATCCAGAAATATGCACTTGGACCCGTAGTTACCCTTACACCTCCCAGCAGATCCTGGAAGTTGGTGAAGATGAAGTCGAAAGCATCGTTGATGTCCCCTCCCTCCCCTTCGAAGCCAGAGCCAGTGTCTGGCAGCTTGTCCTGAGACGCCCGACCAGCTGTGGAGGCTTTGGGCTTGACCTGCGTTCCATGTTCGTTCCACCAAGTTTAGCACTAGAGAACTCGAAGGCTTGCAGCCTCAAGTGTGTGCCGTCAATTCTGCCCCCACGCCAAAACGAAAGGGGCACTCACTCATGTTCTCTTTTTAAATCCTACTCTGCACCTATCTCTTATCAATTGGGTTCTTGTTGTCGAAAGGAGCCTTCAGCATCTGCGACAGGTAGTACCGCAGGAAGAGCCCTCGAAGAGGATGCTGCACCTTGGCACACCCTACGAGCCAGAGTCCCAAATTGCTGACGCGAACATTAGACTACTCCTACCTGGGAGTATAAGACCGGACCAGATGGGTCTGACCCGAACTCTCCATCAGCCCGCTGCGAAGTCTTTGACATACTACTTCGGCTTTGACCCCGAATTTGCAGCCAGCTCGTCATCTTCATCCCGCACCGGGGAAATCACAATTCGATGGACACAGTATGCAACAGCCACAGGCCCCACTAACTACGCAACAGCGACAGGTCCTCCGGTCAGCCTCAACAATTCTGCGGCTAAGTTTGCAGAGGCAAGAAGGGCTTGATTTCTGTCGGAAAGGACGTGATGGCTACACTAGCTTCGTTGGCAGTCGTCTAGGAAGTTGAGTAAGTGGCTACGGGAGAACAGTAGCCGGTCCAAAGGGTTTGCACAGATGATGGCCTCAGGTCGGCACGCCTTTACACAACTCATTGACGTCCTTGAGAATTTCCTTCCGGGACAAAAAATCGCTTCGTGCACCCGACTTCTGTGTGCCTACCTGCTCTGTTGTCGTTGTCATGGCAAGCTGCCCTGGCGATTCTGGTTAGCAAACAAGATGCATAGGTTCCGGATGTATCTCATGAGGACATGGGGACCCAAGGCTCGGAAGCATTATCGTTGCAGGTGTGCATGGAAAACTCACGAATCTCTCCAAGCTCACTGGTCTCTTAGAGAACAGTGGTCACACCAGTGTCTTTCAACAGGCAGATCAGGAAACATTTGCAACTGGGCCTTCGCAGGAGCTTCCAGGGACTTGATGTAAGCCGCCCCCACTGTTGCTAGCAGGTACAGTCTGGGCAGAATATTGCCGGCGTGCTGCACCTGGAAAAGGCAGGGCTTAGAAACCTTCGGGTGCAGCTCGGAGTTCAAAGGCATGCACCTAAAGATCACAGACCTCTACTCAAGGTAAACAAGGATGATGGGCAGGATCTACGGCTTTACGCCCGTGATGCCACAGGAGTCGAAAAGGCTCATGAAGGCCCGCGCACTGGTGGAACGAGTTAGGGCTGAGCACAGGTCCCGGGGCTTACTGCCCAACGGTGTCCGCGGGTTCGGGTAAAGGTATTTTATTAGACCCCTTCCGCAACTTCGTCAGGTCAGGGATCCAAATCGGATCTATCTGTTGAACCCGAAAATCCAATCGAGACAACGTGGCCCAACTACGAACACTCAAGACGGCTTAGGTGCACCAGAAATCGCCAGATACCTGGGGACATCAAGTTCGTTGCTCTGAACCCGAGCTAGACTATCAGCGTGGTTCTTCGCAACCACCGGCCCTATGTGCAATACCCTGCTCCGGAGCGCACTATCGGAATGCAGAACGAAGCACCAAGGAGTATGGCTTTGAAACTGATTTGTTAAATCTTGCCGGGCTCTGTCACGTCGATTTCCACCCCGCCACTGCCAACCAGAATACGCAGTTCCTACCTCGAGCTGATTCACACCCTCAATCCCCGCTGCCCAGCAATGACACACCACAGCCAGAGCACTGACTCGTAGAGATCAATCATCTTCTTCTTGTGCCGTCCCCTTGCTGACTGCAGGGCTGCGAAACTTTGCACAAACCCTAAGCCACCCAAATCAACTACAACACGAATTGTCAGAGACCGACGTGCATTTAGGATGCATGGAACCAATGCCACGCTAGCCCGATGCCGAACTGCAAACCGAATTCACTATGTTCCTACCTGGACCGTTCCAGACCCATCACCACAGTGACAGTGCTCCCTGAAATGCCTCGAGTCGTTTGAGTGAAGGTCGGATGTTGAAGCTTCAGATCTGCTCTTTGAAAACCGCCGTTCGCATGCGCGCTTCATTTCTGAGCTGTTTCTATAGACTTTCTCAAAACATGTTGGTTTGACTTGCTTGCATTCGACTTGCCCGAATCACGAGGACAACGATGCGGGGCAAGGTGTCCGTCTGAAACCCTTCTTTGGGATGGTGGTTGGAGTGGACGCAGGCACTGAAGTGACTGAAACCCCCAATAACACGGAAAGAAGAGCCGAAGGCACTTGTCCCCGAAGAAACCGGCCAGGTGCTGCATCTCGTTGAAGACCTTCCAAGAATCGGGAGGTAAATTTTGATGGCCTTTTAAACTATCAACCGCCAAGCACTAAGGAGTTGGGAAATTCGTCCGTCTGGATGCGCTTTGTGCACCCAGGCACAACGACGAGGATTTGGATCTCAGATCAAACAACGGGCTGATGAAGTGACAGCATGAACGCTTATCGGTCTGGGCCCAGGACCCGGAGATCCTAAGAGACGACCAGCCTGCATATACAGCTCGAAGTAATTCTTCGGAGACAGCAGGGAAGTACGGAGCCTCAGGCGCCAAAGGCCAAGTCGGGGTAGGTCTTTGCACCGCCAAGGTTTCGGCAGACTTTGTTTACCACACTCCGTTGCGAGCCAGTACCGCAGTACGGACAGGTTTGGTTCGGGTAAAAGCCAGGACAACTCATCATCGGCTTTCGCAATCTAGAAAATCCGCCGGGGTTTTGAAACCGTCGAGCCTGGGAAGCCCACTGTCGGGTACTCTTGCGGTGGATCCGACGCACGCGTAGAATCCTGTCCGTGTCCCTAGCGAACGTTTCGAGTTTTCACCAAGAATGTAAGTGCAGAAAAGACGACCAGTGGCAAGCAACCAACACCAATCCACTCTTACGCTGTGGCACGGCTCGATTGCTGACAGAATCCCTGTGTCATTGCTCGGTGTTGATAGGGTCCAAAGGTCCATCCGGCCTCTGACGTCGGAAAAGTTTCAAACGAACATCAAATCACAGAAAGATCGATTTCCGCTCAATCGGCTCACGAAGCCCCACACACACCATTCACAGGCCATTTCAAGGTCCACACTCACAAATCATGTTGGAGGCGTTCTTCAACGCGTCCCGCACGTTATCTCCGTCGATGGCTTTGCGCATGTAGAAGGCTTGCTCCTTCACCTCGGCCAGGTTCTGGATTAGGCTTGCCCAGTAGATCCACGTCAGGACCTTCGGCACCATTTGGGTCTAGTGTTACGATAGTGTTATTACCTGCGAAGTTATCCTCGGATTCATGATTCTTGAAGGGGAAGGTTGAAACCCTATATCCAGCAGGAGCATGTTACCAAACCGCAAAGTGAAGGTTCAGAGACCACTAGGTGTTATTCAGTGCTCAAGCCCACATTCCGCTTAAATTCGTGTGCAGTCCCGAAAAGAGCCAACGGATGGATGTGGGTGTTGCGATTCGGCCCGCCCTTCAGCTGACGGAATCAGGCTGCCCGCTATCAAGGTCTGCTGAGTGTCTTAGGTCTCTTGCGAGGCTCTCGACCCAGTCGTGATCCGAAATCATCTCCTAGTGGAACCTAGTCCAGCAATAAAGAGCTCCAGAGTACAAGACAAGAAGTGCAAGCAAGGGAATGGGCTTTACACAAAGACAGCTTAAATCAAAGCAGCCATCCCGAGAGTAGCAGATCCCGAGGTTTAGTTTAGTGACTGTGAGTTGAGATCGGATCTCCGTTGGCAGAAAAGCCGAGCTACTCCCATGTTCACGGCATTTCCCCGAAAACGAAACCCGGGGCTTCGACCACCGCCGTGGCCTCATCCAGCAGCCGCTCCTGATCATCGGGGCCTGGAATGCCACTTCTCCGAAAACCAGTGACAAACACCGTAAATCCTAAATCTCCACCCTGCCGAAGCAGTAGCCAGATGGTGACCACGAGGCCATGACCAAATGCATTCCCCTGGGCCATCGCGATGCGGCCGTCCTGGCACAAGGCAGGTACAGGATCTGCGAAGAAACGGGAACTAGGCGTTTGAGGATTGGTTCATGCTTCATGCTGCAGCAAAGCTGTCGAGCAAACATTTTGCTGCTGAGGCTGGAGAAACTACGACTAATCCGAATCATTGAGCCGTAGTGGACTTTGGCTGATGCTCAGGCCTACACCCTGGGATCCAAGCCCGACCTGTTCTTGAACAGGTTACAAGGGCAATTACCGCCAGTGGCTTGCTGGAAAAACACGTACAGTGGCCTTAAAACATGTAAAGGGCTTTAGTCCTCGACTATGAACCCAATGTCTGTCCTCGGAGGCGAGAGCAGCCCGCCCCGCGAGAGGGAGTCTACCGGGACGGCAGCGTAAAGCCAAATTCCCACAAGTGCAAGGTTTGAGGTTTCAGAACGTGACAGAGAGCCATCTGCAGCTGGTGGTAGGGTAGGGACTGGCAGCAGCACCTAGTCGTAGTAGAAGTCTCTAGCGCCGTCGCTGTGATAGGAGTAGTTGCAGTTTATAGGTTGTGGTCGTTGTGGTGGTCGGTGGTGGTGCTGGTGGCGCTGGTGGCGCTGCTGGCGGTGGTGGCGGTGGTGGCGGCGGTGGTGGTGGTGGTGTTTGCGGTCGTCACGCAGTCAGCCGTAATTTCGGCAGAAGCAGCAGCAGCAATGGCTAGTGGTGATGCGGTCGACGGTAATCACATCCCCTAGATTAGATCTAAAAGACACGACACCTGATCATGGGAAACATGGGCAACGGTAACAATAGCAATCATGGAGGTGTCTGGCAAGTCGTGTAACCACAGCAGAGATGTCATAGTAGAAGCGACCGGTACTAAGTCCAACAGTGCTTGTCATACAGGTACGACGCGAGGCTAGTGCGCACGCAAGACATTGTCGTAGGCAGGAATTGCTAGCCGAGGACATGACATCCATGTAAAACAGTGTTGCAGGATTCTACTATCTCCCTACCAGCTTCAGTTGGGCAAGATCTGCAGGGTGTTGGTCACAAGTCGGCCGCATGGCTGGGTTCTCGAGGCACAGCGACTTCAAGCTTGATCAAGAGCCTTCTTTCTCATGCTTTCAAGTGCAGTCAGGCCAAACGAGTTATTGATCAACTTGGCAAGTCCATGGCAAAGAGGGCACGAAACTTAGGGGTTTGAGACCAAGGTCTCTGCAAACGGTCGGCCGAAAACTTTGCTCAACACCAAAGCCAGAATAAAGGTGACACGTACAATGTAGACTCCTGTACCTGCTCAGCAGGCAGTAGCGAATTCCTTTCACGACGCAGTGCAGCAAAGGCAGTTCACTGAGACGTGCAAAGGTATAGCCTTGGTCTTTCGAGTGTGGAACAGCAACCGATGCAAAGTTCTTAGGCCAAACGCGAGTGCGTGGTCCGCCTGTGTCACGACACGACCCCAAGCCCGAACGCCTGGCGCTCAACCTCATGGCTAAGATCCATTGAACTGCCCATGCCCAGATACGAAACACCAAAAACATGCGCACGAAACCTTCAGCGGTGAACCAAAATAAGCCGTTTAATTTTGTGGTTGGCAAATTCCTGGGTCCTAGACCTGCGACCTCAGCGTCATATAAGAACGCACCGAATTCCTAACGGATGGTGCGCGGACTTTCATGGTACCGAGATGTATCGAGTGTCCCGACATGCCTTCCCTTGCAAAGCCCTGCTCAAGACTTCCGGCTGAATCTCAAGCCCCTCGCAAAGCGACGATGGGCCACAAGCTTCTGCGGCCGCACCTGGCAGACATGCGACATGTACAAAGCAGCGCCGTCTCTGGTGTGCCACTGAAGCGCGGGAGGCAAAATATGGACCTGATGATCTTTTGCTAAACAGAGGCTCTGCAGCATGAAGCTGTTAAGCCCCTTGAACTCTGGTACTATAAGCTACTAATTGTGATGCGCTCAACCCAGAACTTGAAGAACAGACAGTTCTGTGGTCGGCATCGACTGGAGTGTTTTGGTTCGCGTAGTTCGGAAAACTGCATACATCGACATTTGTCCGACAAGTCCATGCAAAGGCACAGCCTCGTAGCCCCGAATCTGGACCCCGAGTCCGTCCAACGAGGAACCTCTTGTCAAAGAGCAACCATCATGCACGGATCGACTTCCTCACTGGTTGGCCTGTTGGACTGAATCATCCCCGGAGCCTCTTAGTCAACATCTTGACCGAAGCCAATCAAGGATATTTACGAAAACACAAAACGCAGGAAACCTCAGCATTGTCGCCTCCAAAACGCAACACAGAAGAGAAGCGCGTCGGAGTGGCAGTGCCGCGATCCGCGAGCAAGGCGCTTCACGCCCGTTCGGACAGAACGCAGGAGAGCCGAGGCAGTAAGGCCGAGGCCGAGACAGCCCCGACTGGAAACCTCACATGAACCTATCCCGTACATGCGCAGTACATATTGCTTAGATCCGGAACAACACTCAATAAGTCATGCAACCCACAGTTTGCAAGCTGTTCCCGTCTTTGTGCTTCACATTATTACGAACAGGTTGAGAAAATTAACCGCTGCAGCACCACATCTGGAAGGCTCCGAACTGTAAGAAGTGATCCACCCCAGCCCTCCTGCGTAGACGGTCGGTCGGCCCAGCACACTGCACAAAATACGCTACTTGCTGGTTGTATGGTCAGGCTTTAAAGTCATCTGTGCATAGCAGGGCCGCGGAACCACGCTGGAGGCATGGAACCAGGCCATGCGTCCGAGCTTTGTACGGGATGTCTGCAGAAGTCGTGATTATACGCTCGTGAAGATGCGAAAGCAGTGCTGGCTGGCCGGCCACAGGCTGTCGGGCTGTTTCGCAGGGTGAGAAGGGAGAGTCTCCCAGCGCGGCGTTGTGATGTACTCACTGTTGTGCAGGCTTTTGCCGTCTGTGTGAACTTGTTCATTGCTTCTGTTCCCGCCACCTCACGTGTTGCAGTAGCTTAGGATGGGAACTTTCTTACGCTACAGCCGAAGCCCCCTTCAGCAGATCGACACAAGGTAATGCTATTCCCCGCCGCGCTGCGAAGCGCAATTCTGTGCTCCCGGACCCCGCTCTAAGTCTTGCCCGTTGATGGCGCACGGGAGCTCGAGAAAGAACAGACCATAATCTCCGCTGTCATAATAATAGAGACGTTGAACCTTGGTTTCAGACTTGAACGGAAACTCTTTCGAACAGCAGCTCTGCATCCTGCCCCAGGGTCTCCAAGGGGCAAGTCAGAGACTGCTGGCAACCTGCTACAGACTCTCGTCGCAAAAGCCTTGCACCTCAAAGCCTCTGAAGAGTGAGTGCTTTGCAACTGCCGGGGATGACAAGTTGAAGTAGACCTGAACGCAACACCGGCCTGGCCTTCCTTTCCCCAAATCTATTGAATCTATTTTTAAACCTTCATGCAAGTGCTTATCTGCCACCTCGAGCCGAAGTTCCTCGGCCATCATCGGCCGGCATGGGGACGGCCGGGCTGCTGCCCTCTCGCTGGCAGTCGGCCCAAGACCAGATTCAAGACATCTAGGGTGTAAGGGCGAAGAGGACTAAAAGGATTCAGGATTGCGGCGTCTCGGTGGATGATTCCTGGTAACGTCGCAACTGCCCTTCCAAGCGCATTTTTCGGGACTGGATTTTGAATATGGCCGTGAAAGCCAAAAAGCCCAAAAGTATGATCCTGCAAAGTAGATCTTCAGAGAGGGCCTCTCCAAAAATTGTTGAGGTGACACTCCATAAGCACCGCCTGCTTTGTCAAAGACAAGCCTAGAGATCCTGAACCCTCTACAGACCCCACTGCTCTGCTGCTCTTCTACTCTTTGCCGGGCCCCGTCTCCCCCCAGCCGGCCACGGGACACCTACAGACCTACGTGCTTCTTGAGGCCGGAGCCCAGAGAAGACATGGTGGAAGTTCAATTCGATACCCGAAACTTCGCTAGCAAAGTCTCAGAAGGTGCAGATGTTTGATATCCGTGTAGAACCAAACTCATACAGGCCAAAGGAATTGCAGGTTGGATTCGCAGATGCAGCCATGTTAACCACAAATACTGTGGCTCCTGACACCACCTTCCATGCTTCTCCTAGTCTGCAGCCGTCGCAAAAAGCTTCCCACTGGAGCATAACTACTGGTCTTGATGTCTTTGAAGGACGGAAGAACTGAGCAATATCTACGCGGTCAATGATTCTCACGAGATGTTGCCAAGATTTGCCAAGCTTGCGCACAAAGTAAGTTGGATAGACACCGCATTATCCTTAGACGTCTCGTTAGTACTCTTTGCGAGTCGTGATTGAAGAACTGAGATCTGCAACCTATCTCCAGCGAGTCGTGTGCTATACTGCGACAAATAATGGGTGGATGAGCGTGCCAAGGGCCGGGAGCATGTTAAGATCGTATGTCCGCATGTTTGCCACGCAAACAACCAAGCACAAGTGCACAAACGTGTACAAATTCGCGCATTAAACACACGATTCTCTAACTGTCTTGCTTACCTGCTGCAGGCCTAAAGGGAATGTATTCCGTGCCCCTCTCCCCCTCGGCCTGTCTGCCTGCCTGCCTGTCTGTCTCTCTGTGTCTAGCAGCTGTTCCATTGGTGTTGTAAGTAGCTCGACATACCGACATACCACCGAATGAGTTCGGAATTTGGTGGAGGGTTGTCCGAAACATTCAGATTTGATTTTGTGGTATTGTTCCCGCCACTGATAAGGGGCTACGGAGGCATCTTGCGTTTCGTCGTGATGAAAACAGGATATTTAGTCAAAGACAATAACACCAACTGAGCAAAAACAACTGACCCTGCCTTTGTCTTTCTTACTTTGCGAAGGGCTGAAGTGTTTCTTCCAATTAGCGCGGACACTGGACCAGATTCTGGTATTTTTGGGTGATCTACATATACCAAAGAAGAGCACAATAAGTTTCTGGACTTCGGAGAAAGCATCTGGAGACAGAGTGCTGTAGACGAACCGTTGACAAGAAAGCTGGGATGCATCATAGGGGATGTGACCATATAGGTGTGCATATATGTATATATGTATGTAATTATATGTGTATATGTAGATGCAAAACATGTAGAGAGAGGCTTTCAAGCTTCTCGTGCAGAGCTGGGGAGAAGATCTGAATGACCGATCCATACCTCATGGCCAAATCATTGGCGCTACTCATCCACCTGCAGTGCGCTGTGTTCAAAAGCAAGTGTGTCCTCAGCAGCGCACTTCTGGCTTGGACTCGTTCTCGGGCCGTTTACTTGAGATTCAGCAGGCTGGCGATGTCACATCGGAAATACCACATTCGGGCATGCTGCTCTGCACAACCCAAAGACTGCAATTGCAGGACAGGCTTAGGTGGTCTCGGAATCGAATGCAAGGAGAGTGCAGGAGGGAGGTGGGCTTTCAAGGGTGGACCGCAAAGCTACACAGAAGGCGTTGCGACCATTAGCTGATCCTTCGGCTGCGCAGGAAGAACCTGCCACCCTTGCAAGGTCTAGATCTTTGTGAGGGATGAAGGAAACCCCCAAGATCGACATGTCGACACGAGTTGCGAGCCTCAGGATTTGGGCTTTGCTGTATATGGTGGAGACTTCGCTGTGTTTCGTCGGATGTGGAGCCCCTGTAATTGCTACGGCTAGAGTTAGAACCACGCTATGTGATTCTAGTCTGCGACTAGGCCCCGTCCATGCCTTCGGGAAGGCACCAGCTGCGAAGAGAACGCGTTGGGCACCTTCACTGCCACTTGCAGTAGCAGGTGGCGCACTGAAAAATCGCCTGCAGATGCAAAGGTGGCGCCTGGTTTGTTCCAGTCGCTCCCCCACAGTATTGAGAGCTTTGCCGGGCTTCAAACAGCGATCACATCAAGGACCGTACAATCAGGAGCGGCCTGCCCTCCGAGATCACACATACAATGCAGGCTGAATTGCAAGTGCAAGGAAAGGCTCAGACAAACACAACCTGTCACGAAGCCCATAAATCTCCGGTTCCGAGCGCCAGGCTGGCAATAGCGTATGTATGCTGTCCCTTTAAGCCTGAAGTCGAAACTGAAACTAAAGCGAAATGATACCGATAGGTCCGCGAGAACTGGATCCAAACGCACACTTGTTTCGAGGGGGAGCAAAGCTTTCAGCTGCACGAGGTATTGTGAACCCTCGCCCCATGAAAGACGATGTTACACATGCGATTTGTGAATACGGCTTTGGCATGTGGCACACCGTGTGAAAAGAATGCTGGAATGCCGGACCCGTAGACTCATAATCCGCTTCCGCGATGAATCCAAACCCAACACAAAAACTCTCCTTCGCCGTGCAGGTCCTCAACTTTCTCTAGAGGCTCTATAATGGTTGGGGGTTCAAGGAAAGACCAGAACTCAGCTATGGCTTGATATGAGTCTGTTGACACATCCCTCGACGTTGCTGTGGATGAACCGCTGAGCCTTCTCGACCAACGCTGTCCGGTGCACAGTGTGTGCCAAAGACGGCTTCGCAACTCAGACTCAAATGAGGAAATGACAGAAATCCCGCTGAAAGTAACTAACCCGTGGTTTGGGGGTTCCGTTGGCTCTTTAGCTCCTTATTTGGTAGGGACTATCATCATCCCTGGCTCCGTAGCTCCTCCAATATCAATGGTTAGATAATATCTGTTTCCTGCGGCTGCCGTAGAAAGCTAGACCCCTTCGACACAGCAGACGAGTGGCCTGCGGACGCTGCTGTGTTGCGAATCTTTTGCGGTATGTCAGCTTCCTTCGCAGTGCACTAATCCAACCTCTTGATAAGTAAAGACCCCTATATTCAAAGGACTTTTTCCTGAGGTTGGCTGGACCGGGTCAGACATTCCCGAGATTCAAGGGAAAAACTTCCATCCCTTCACATAGTTTGGACTCAGTTCGTGTGGTTTTAAAGACTGCAGCCTTAGTCGAGGCCTCTGGAAGGGTTTTTTTTTGAGGGGAGGCTCAGTTGGTGTGTTTTGACTGCAGCCTTATTAGAGGCCTTAAACTACAACTTTACTGCAGCGACAACCTTCTTAGAGGCCTTAAACTTACTACTTTACTGCAGCACCACCCCCTAGTAGAGGCCTTGAACATACTACTTTACTGCAGCTACTGTACTACTGTATTACTCTACTACTTTACTACTGTACTACTACTGTACTCCTACTGTACTGCTACTGTCCGACAACTGTTCTCTGTACTATTACAGTACGATTACTGTTCTACTGCTGTACTACTCTAGGCTACTGCCTTTCATCCCTAGTGTCATGGAAATCCCAACCCGTAGAATTCCGATTCCGCTAATCAATTCTGGGGGAGGGGGGGCCCCCCGCCTCCACTATTCAAGAGCACGGAATAAATACTCGTCTCTCATGATCAGGACAATGGCACGGCAAAATTATTTCGCGAGTTCAAGGTCAGAACCTGCTACAAGCCTTGCCGAGCCTGGCAACCACTGGCACAGGAGCATCCGACTGCGTGCGGGCCGCGCTGCAAAGAGCTTCAACCGACACAATCGACCCGAAGATACAAAATTGAATTATGGCCAACCGACCGGTACAGAATGCCGTTGGGCTTAAACTCCCGGCGGTTGGAACGGGCCTCTGAAGCAAGTTCCATCAAGCAACTGCTCAGTAGCCAACTCGAAGAATTCACCTATGCTTTGCAAAGTGGTGTCTGGATAATTACAGCACCTTCCGATAGCCAGTGACGAAGCTTGACGGATGAGGTCAGGACGGAACTGCGCCTAGTCTACAAGAAGATACTCGTCACGAAGTCTCCGAGATGCTGTACAGAGTTCGGCTTTGCACGTTCAAACGCTTTCGCGGGAACCGTGGCAGTGACGTAGCTGGGGTTTAAGGCATTGCAGATCTGCACGAACTCCATTCTGATGTGTGAGTCTTTATGAGGTGTCAATTCCGGATCAACAACAATCGCCGGAACTCTGCAGCACAAATCTTGTGTTCGTCTGCTCTTGACCAGTATGAACCTCGAGTTAGGCCATCAGCTCAGGAGAGGACGCCTGGCAGTCGGGAGGACTGGGGATCAACTGGAGTCGAGTAAGTCTTAGCTTGAGTGTTTTTAAAAGGCCGGTGGCATTAGGGCAAGACACAGACCCCCAAAATCCCAAATATTCTTTTATATGATTGAAATATTCTTTTTAATATTTGAAATATTCTTTTAAATGTTTGAAATATTCTTTAAAATATTTGAAATATTCTTTAAAATATTTGAAATATTCTTTAAAATATTTGAAATATTCTTTTAAATATTTGAAATATTCTTTGAAATATTTGAAATATTCTTTAAAATATTTGAAATACTCTTTTGAATATTTGAAACATTCTTTTAAATAATTCAAGTATTCTTTTAAATTCTTGAACTTTCTTGGAATACTTGAAATAAATTGAAAATCTATTCTGAAAAATCTTGTGCTTTCCACGAAAACAACTAATTTCTTGTATCATATTTCTGCACTATCTACTAGCAGTTATTCTTCGAATAAGCAGAGCTGTATTTCCAGAGGTGTTCTGCGAATTCGAAACCCGTATTTCTCATAATATTGAACCTGAATTGAGTATGATGCAACTTCGGCACTGTTCTCTCTTTTTGCTGGCTCAAGTCTGAAGTCGCTGCTCCACCTTTTGCGGTAAACACTGCAAGCTTGAAAGTTTCAAACATGGCAGGTTCAAGCTTAACCCTGGCCTGAAGCCCAAACTGTTTGACCCAAACTGACAGCGACTAAAAGCTAAGTTCCCAACTGACTTAACGGTGTCCCACCCTGCTTCAAGCCCTGGGCTATAAGCCTTCACCCACCAAGGGATCGTTCCACCAAGACGTGGGTCCGGCTCCTACGGTCGTGCGTTCACGCACTTCACTCTACTGCAAGGAGCACGTCCAAAGCGCTAAGCGCCGTCTCCAAGTTTTCACTGGAGGCTGCCTTCTGCTGAGGCTTCAACCAGGCTGACGCCATCATGCTCTGGATGACGGCCAATAGGACCGGCAATGCCATTGCATTCCCGGCCAGGTCCTGCATCAGCTGTTCTGTCGGTTGGTATTCTGGGTCACAATTCTCAAAGTAACGCGGCACCGGGAAGCCCTGAAACAACAGAGCTTCTCGGCCCAGCAGGAACCGTGGGGGTTTCAGCAACTCAACCCACAGCAGCTGACCGGGGAGCATGGTCGGTGCAAGGTACCGCCCTGACTCCGAGATTGTGGAGTGGTGCGCCCTGTTCAAGGACTGGCTCAAGTTCCTGAACATACACTGTGGCACTGCTTTCCGAGAAAGCTTCAGCACGTCCTGCTCCCTGTCCGTGAGAAGCTTAAACCACGGGTTCGAGCCCAGCTCCTCATCGGCTTTAAACCCCCACCGAATCCCCAAGCCCTCTGCGAACTTCATGTGCTGCTCAATCCAATTGGTGCCAGCCTTTTTCCTTGAGGCTGCCGCTTGCTGCTTCTCTTGCAAGGTTTGCAAATGCTGCAAGGCTTCCTCGCACTGGCTTTCCATCAAGATGTCAGCTGCAGAAGGAGCTGAGCGAACGCAGGACGTTACACACGTTCGAAAGCACTCCCAAACCGTGGCCAAAGGCCGTGATGCCAAGTCCAACTTGGGACTCTTCATGTTAATGAAGAAGATGTACACTCGCTTACGTCGGCATGGCAGCCCAAACTCGAGCGCATCTGTCATGACCACTTGCCCTTCGTAGGACATGTTCTGCATGACCTCCATGAGTATGTCGAGGTTCGTCTGCGCATTCTGAGAAAGCTGGTCATCGATGGAATCGACGTTTTCGTACCTGGGGAGATGATCTGTATGGCCGTCGGGCTCTGAAGTCTGAAGCAAATGACACGATGACCTCAAAGCTCTGCCGAATCTGGCTACAACACCTGGCACAGACTACGGCTACTATCGACGGTACCACAACCAACGACAACCTACTTCATACTTTGAGTGCTACTCCTAGATTACTGACACTACCAGTGGAGCCCTCGGAGCAAGCATCGGAGGTAACACGGTACGTCAGACATAACATAAGGCACGTAAGACATGACATGAGACAACATTTAGAAAAACGCAAGGAGGGAGGCATATGAGTGATATAATTTTATAGTTGTAGAACTCAGATTAGATAGAAGGCTTTTATGGCTTATGGCGTATGGCTTACATTTCTTAGTCCTAATCGTAACTTTGACAAAGCACCACCACCGATGACCACTGACAAGCCGAGCTGCACAACCATGTTTGGCCTGTACTTCTTCACGTGTAAAACCGTGAAACGTCTGGGCCGAGCCCCCCCGAGACTGCAGCTGACTGAAGACCGGTGCTTTACCTGAACCATGCGCCTGACTGCGATCGGGGAGCTGCTTGGAAAGGTCCTTGCAAGAAGTACCAAGCACCAAAAGGTCTACGGATTTCACTTTGCACAAGCAATCGTGTAGCGCGCATTTCGCCTCTCCCTCACATAGCGCGGTGATATCTTCGAAGATGCACCAGCCGTCATAGTAATCATCAGCATCGGTCTCATCTTCATCGTGACTGAACACTTCTCTTATCCAGTCCCGTTTTTCTGCATTCGACTCACACGAGAACACGTGTTCGAACCTGACGCCGAGGCCCATTTCGCGACAGGCCTTGTTGATCGCTGCCATGACATACCAAGCCCCCTCCGATCCACTGCAGCAACTAGCCCATGTGAGTCGCAGCGGTTGCTTTCGAGCTGCAACTGGGCCAAAGGCCGAGGCCTCCTCTTGCCCCGGCAGTGCCTGAAACCCCCGAAAATTCTCGGCAGCCAAGACTTCCAAGAGGGAACCATCCTTGATGGCCTCTGCAGGACAACACCGGCGGGAAGCCTGCAGCATCAAGTCAGCATCTCCTGATTCGACACGCTGCAGTCTCCTGGGCTTCTTGGCATCCGGCAACATTGGGAAGGTCGAAACAAAACGGGAAACAGTAACAATGATAAGCTTCGAAGCTGAGCAACGCACTGCACACGCAACAGCAGAATCGCAACTCTGCACGCTACTGTGAAGATGCTGCGGTTGTAGCATGCGCACGACCAGTGATCTGACACCTGCAGACAGCTAGACGATTCATTTTCAACAGCTGACCTTGCATGTTGCATCAGGGTCAACCCACGCGACTAGCAGAGCTGCGAGGCAAACTCGAATTCGCAGGCAGACAGCGAAAAATCAGGGTCTCTAAATATGTGCCGTCAATACTGTATACTGTCACTTTGACTGACTTTAACTTTTAACTTTCACTTGGACTTTCACTATACACTATATATCCATCAACCAAAAGCTGCAAACCTGCGTCGAGATCGCCGTCCTGGAAACATATTCCGAAGCTCATGTGTCCGAAGACCGTCGCTTCTGACTGCAAAAAAAAGTGAGATCGAACTACCCACTTTTCAACTCGGTGGGGTTTTGAACCTTGGCCCGAGGCCGTAAACTCAACGCTTCTTGCGGCCCCCTGAAGGCTCGACCTTTGCCTTGCCCTTGGGCCCCTTGGACGCTGGCTTTTCCTTGGCCTTGGCCTTGACCTTGGCCTTGGCCGTGCAAACTTTGGCAGGAAGCCCTTTGCCCGCCATGTCAAGCAAAGCCTCGGTCGGGCCACCTGCTCTTCCGGTCCGTGGCTTCTTGGGCGGGGGTAGCTCCTGAGGCTCCTCATCCTCCTCATCGTCATCACTCAAGTTGATCTCTTCATCCTTTTCTTTCTTCTTGGCCTTCTTTTCCTTGACGCCGTGGTCCTTGTCCTTCTTGTCCTTCTTTTCAGCCTTCTTCATCTTGCTGTCCTTGGCCTCCTTCTCGTGCTTGACATCCTTGCTTTTCTTCTCCTTGCCGGGCTTATCCTTCTTATCCTTGGCTTTCGGGTCGGGCGCGGCTTCCTGATCAAGGTCCTCACCGGATGCTTTCACTTGGACAATGCTGTTACATTCTGCAAGTACCTTGTCTGCGAAACCCTTGAAAGCACTGTGCTCCGGTGGAAGCTCGCCACAAGCTGCCAGCAGGTCTAGTTTGCTTCGCAAAGTGACAGCTGTGTCGCTCAAACCTTGCATGGTCTTCACTCCAGCTGCTGAGGTCTGCCCAAGAGAGTCACTCCTGAGCAGACAGATGGCGGCAACAGCAGCAATATGGCAAGAACCCACTGCCACTGCCAATTTTGCAGGCTGAACTAGGCCAGAGGCCGCAAGCTTCTCTTCGGGGAAATCCAGCTTCAGTTCCGAACTGAAAGCAAGTTTGTGCAGCTTCTGCTGCATCTCCGTACGGGCATCCGAATTTTTCAACTCGTCCGCCACACGATGCACCTTTCTGGCCAAACCTGTCAAAACGGGGAGTGCTCCATCGCGATATGCTGCCTCATTCTCCGTGCTTGGTAACGCCTTGACCACTGCTTCAACCTCCCCAGTGGCAGCCTCCAATGATTTGCAGCCTGCGGCCTGCTTCTGGATGATGGTGTCAATGAGCGAGGAGCCGATGCTGCGAAGCCACTCCCCAGACTGGTCCAAAGAAGAAGCCTTCAATCCTTCGCTGAAGTCCTCTTGTGTTTTGGCTTCTTCGATTGCCTTCAGGAAGCTCGCGCTGACGTTCGAAAGTGCCACGACCAAAGCCGGGTGATCAGCTTTGCTCATATCTGCTCGTTGCACGGCAGCCACCTGCCGAATGAGTAGCACTTCAACTCAACATTCATTCAAGCATTGGGTGGATTGGGATTCGGGGGCAAGTCACGAAGTCACTCTGATGAATGCACATTCGAGTGGAAGTGGCAGCAAGGATAGCCAGGAAAAGGACTCACAATAGACAGGAAAAGAAAACCTGACATCTGCTGTTACAGAGTGACGAGAAGCTGGTATTGACGGTATTGAAGTAAGGTAAGTAAACAGAAATAACACAAACATATTAATACCATCAGCAGGTTGCAAGGCTCCCCAAAAACATACAATGCAAACCAATTGATCCGTTGATCATGATTAACTGATATCAGAACGAATGATCCTGCAGCTGGCCTCCAAGAAGGAGCAGCTCAACGGCCGCAAAGGATGCTGCGATGGGATCTGTTGCAGGAGCTGCGTCAGTACATTCTGCGACAGGCCTCCTCCCACCTCTCCGTCGATGCACTGGCGAACTGTCTGGGACAACGACCCGACCCGAGGCCTGAAGTGAACAAACTGGTGAGGTGCGACTTACAGGGGCTCAGGAACAACTTCTCGAAACGACAATGCATATCTTCGTGCCCCTCAGGCCACCATCGCTTCAGATCAGGCGCCACACCTGTGAGCCACGCTCTCACGCTTTCGGGGCTCCGCTCCTTCCGGGGAAGATGACTGAAAGCAGGCAACTGGCGAAACACAAAGTCGCCCAACTCGCAAAGCGAGTTTGCCAGTGCCAGATAGTCTTTCAGCCACGGGTACACGTGGCTAGGGAGGGTGCTCCAGAACGGGTTCTGAGTAAAGGATGTGCACCGGATAGCTGGCCAGGTCTCGTCAAGGTTGATGAGACTGAGCTGGCCATCGGCATCAGATGTCTTGCCATCCTGAGCCACTGCTTCGCAGAGATGGTTCCTTGGAGGTTGCAGGAATGTTCACGTGCTTCCACAGTATAGTAGAAACCACAGGGCAGGACCCAGGACTAAGACTAAGGCCAAGGCTTATAGGCTTATGGTTTAGAGTCGTTTAGAGTTAGAGTTTAGGGCTTACGGTTCATCACTTCCTGAGAGTGTAAACTTTAAACTGAAATTAAAAAGTATATTGAATAAAATATTATAATAGAACAGTCTAGTAGTTAGTAAAGTTTAATGACTAATCTAGTGGAGGACACAGGACTGCAACCAGGCCACAACATCTCGAGCAAGTTGACCTGCAATTTCCGGCGCGAAACCGTCTCAACCAGCCCAAAGAACTTGGTCTCCATCCTTTCCATCCTTTTGCTAAGCACCTCGAAACTTTTGGCTTTCTTGCTCTTGAAAGCCTTCATCTTTGAAGAGCATACCTTCCACGCATCTCGCGCTGGCACTAGTCGGTCAAAGATCCCCCCATCGTCCTGTAGGGACGTTTCGAGACTTTGAAGGGCATCTTCCAATGCTTCGAGGCTCTCTTCAACTTCAGCCTCTTTCTTGCCGTGCTGAACCCGGCCAGAGGCCGCTTCGAACATAGCCAAGCCCACTGGATGTTGAATGAAGAACCGCTGAATCGCACTCACGCTGGTGCTGGTGTCTCCATCGGCATCCTTTTCCAAAGCAGCCTTATTATCCTGCAAAGTCTTAACACTCGTGCCGAGCTTCTTCATGTCCATATCGGCCTGACCCATCATCGCTACAGCCACACTCATGTCATCCGCCATCGAAGCTGGAACAAACTCTTCAGAACTACTGTTCTCGGAGTAGACGTCCAGCATAGCCTGGCACAGTTGGAGAGCTTCATACACTGGTCCATCTTGTGGAATGGCATCGCTCAGCCCACTGAGGTCGGTAGGCTGGATTGCACACAACGTCATGAGGACCCGGTTCTCCACTTCGGCCAAGATCGCTGAGCTGAACCCCTTATCCACCAAAGACTTGGTCAACTCCGATTCCATGAGGAAATGTTGCCAGAACTCCTCGTACTTGCTGTAGAGACACCGGCAAGAAGCCTTGGCCACCAGGAACTTCAGCTGGAACGCTGGGCCAAGCCCCCGAAGTTCAGTGAAGAGCTCACATTTGATGAAGTCTTCAGCTTCTTCGTGTGCTCGGACCACCTGCTCGATGTCGGGACTCTCTAAGCCGACTTGAGCCAACAACTTGACCAATGCCTGCATGCCCGTCTCGATGGTTTGCAACTGCTCCAACGTAGTCGTCAGCTGATCCTTGTTCGGGGACTTCTCCATGCGCTTCTGCACGTCTTTTGCTGTTTTTGAAAAGTTTTGCAAAATTCTGGACTTTGCGAGGCACTCGTTCTTGAACGCTAGCCGAGATTCCTTGTCGGGACCAGGCGGCTGGCAATCCAACTTGACTTCCGCAAACTTGTTCAGGATGTCGCTCAGCGTGTCTTTGCAAGTCTTCAAGGATCTCTGGGCCCGTCCGTCGAGCATGAGCATGGCAGATGTCCTCCTCAGTTGCAGCCACCCAAGCCCGGGGGATATGGTGTTAGTATTTGGATGAGGGGGATTAGCTACTAATGTTTGTAAGTTATACAGCTGTACAGTTATCAGTTGATTAAGCTGATTAATCCTAAGCCATAACTACAACTATGACTGCAACTATACGTTACACAGCTGTTATTAATTAACTATTCATTATTAGCTCTGACGTTGTGACATTGTGTTTCGCATCGCACGCTCCCTAACAGTGTTGCAGTGTTGCTCGCACAGGTTCTGCCAACAAAATCAAACGAATGACCCCGAATGTAACACATTAACACAACACAGTCGAGGTTCGGGAATGCATCCGTTGCGGTGTCCTCTGCGGCGGCATCCTTCTGTTTGTCCTGCTTCTTCGACTCCTTTGGGGCCTTCGGGGTGGTCGGGCTGGGCCTGAGGCCAGGGGTGCTCGTCGGCGTCTCCTTTGGGTCGCCCTTGCTCGAGCCCGTCTTTGACAGTCTCTTTGGCTTGGCCTTGTTCTTCGGCGCGTGCTCGGTGCCTTTGCTGTTGCTGGTCTTAGGTGCGGGTTGGGCCGGGACCTTCGCTTTTGCTTTGGCTTTCGGTGTGGCCGAAGACGCCCCAAAGAACGAGGCCAAAGGCCGCTCGTCGTCCTCAGAACCCTCCTCGTCGCTGTTGCTGCTTTGGACGCTCTCAGCATCACTGTTTGACCCGGAACCATGGCCAGAGGCCGCGTCAGGAGCAGCCTTCAAGCCACTTCCAAACCCGGCCTGCAGCTGGCCCAAGAGATCTGTCAGGCTCAGCTCCTGGCCCTCTACAGCCTGGCTGGCCCTGGCCTTCGCTGCTGCTTGGAACGCCTCCTCGTTGGCTTTGCGCTTGCGCCCCAAGGCTTCGGCAGCACAAGCACTGTCGTCGGCTTCGTGCTGCGTCGTAGTTTCCTTGAAGGATCTATCATCATAAGCCTCGTAGTCGAACACACCATCTTTGCCTTCCTTCACCCACATTCCCTCGTGCTCTTCGCCAAAGACGGTTTGCTTTACGACCTTGCTCGGATCCCATTCTCCATGCAACGCCGGGTCGTGCCCCTCTCTCGTCACGAACTTCATCCTCGGACCCTTGAAGCGGCCACCGATGGACTTCTCGGTTTCCAGCTTCGTCGCAGCATGTATCTGCTGTTTGCATTTGAGTCTGGTGCGATCTGGGTTCTCTTCGTGTTGCCGCAACCACTCTTTGCGGCCCTTCAAGAAGTCCTTGTGCTTTGCCTGGTTCTCTTTTTTCTTGATAAACTCGTGATATTTCTTGTAGGAACCATATGTTGCCGCATAGCCTGCCAGGGCTGTGTGCAACATCCCCTACCCTCTAGACACGACACACAAGACCCCTATATACCCATGGCTGCCGACAGCAACATAAACATACTATATGTATACACTTAACTTAACAATATGACCTAAATGTCACGATATACTGGGTAATTGAACACTTACGACAGTGTAAACAAATCTTAAGTGACTATACTATAAGTCTGTAAGTGATAAGTGAACCATGGCCCTGCCCTCCCCCACCCCACCACACCTGCGGACCGAACCCCACCGCACCCGCCCACCCGCCAGCCAGCCGTCAGACAGACCGACAGACAGACTGAGTGACAAACAGACAGAAAGACCAAGCAGCCAGCCAGACAGAAAGCCTGACAGCCAGGCAGACACACACGCAGACTGTCACACAGAGTCACACAGACACTGAAACGTCACAAAGCCACACAGAGACACACAAATACAAAATGTGTGTGTAGTATTTGTTCTATGATTATATCTATACATCTACATACTTATATATCTATACATCCACACAGATACATACATCATATAAATATATATATATATATTTGAATTATACATAATGCCCACGTGCAGACGCACACAAAGAACACACACACTCACCCATCCATCCATAGGCACACACACACACACGCAGCACAGACAGAGAGAGAGAGAGAGAGCGAGCAAACACACACACACACACACACACAAAGAGGGAGAGAGAAAGAGAGACACGCACGCACACGCACACACCAACACACAACACATACACACATACACATACACGGCTGGCCTAAGGCTCGCCACACGTTCAGGCACACCAAGCAGATGCGCCCTGCGGGCACGCGGTAGCTTTCGCCCTCCCGTGTCAGCACACGGTACTTTCCCCAAGGGATCGTACCACCAAGGCTTGGGTCAGGCTCAACCAGCGGCGTCGGAGCTGTGCTCAACGTGTCGCACAAGCAACAACAAGAAGGCTTGGTCCAGGCGTGACAGACCCTCAGCTTATTAGCCGAGACTGCAGTACACGTCAGGGCTGCACTGCTGGCTCTCCGGTGCCAAACGCCGTCCGGAGGACCTGTCGCCTTTTCCTCTGCCTCCGTCTCCTGGTCGGACTCGGCACCGTTGTCGCTGCTGCCACCGTCGCCGTCGTCCTCTTGCGGTTCGTCTTTCGGCTTGCCTTTCGCCATAACCTTCCCCATGGCTCAAGGCTCAGGGGATGGAGGAACCCTGGCTGAAGGCCGCAGAGCGGGCCAAGCAGCAAAAGTAGGCGTCACAAGTGAAAGTACAACAGTTGAGAAAAGCTCGAGCTTCTTCAAAGCTGAAGGCAGCAACATCAAAGAATCGAACAAGCAAACGTGCCACAGGACTGTACTGTTCTACTCCTGCACGACCCCATGCTGGAGCAGTCAACCAAAACCCGGACCCTCTCTTCTTTCTGAAAAGTTTTAACGATGTGTAGGGTTGATTGGGTGGAGGGGATGCAAGGGGAGCAACGAGAGGGCAGGGTTTAGGGTTTAGGGTTTAGAGTGGGTATCGGGTGGGTATAGGGTTTAGGATATCGGGTTTGGGGCCAGGTGTTTTTTTCCAAGTGTGCACTCCCGCAGTAGCTCTCGCCATTTTCTTTCCAAGGGGGTGGGCCCCCCCTGCGGTAGCTCTCGCCATTTTTTTCCAAGGGGGTGGGCCCCCCCCGCGGGAGCTCTCGCCATTTTTTTCCAAGGGGGTGGGCCCCCCCTGCGGTAGCTCTCGCCATTTTTTTCCAAGGGGGTGGGCCCCCCCTGCGGTAGCTCTCGCCATTTTTTTCCAAGGGGGTGGGCCCCCCCTGCGGTAGCTCTCGCCATTTTTTTTTTCCAAGGGGGTGGGCCCCCCCTGCGGTAGCTCTCGCCTTTTTTTTCCAAATTTTTTCCAAGCCCCGGCCACACCTCCCTGCGCTGGCTGCCGATGTTTTTTTTTCCACGGGGTTAGGCCCCCTGCGCTACCTCCCAAATTTTTGTTACTTTTGTTAACCAACGTGCTGGGCTTTTTGTTGCGGTAGCTCTCGCCATTTTTTTTCCAAGGGGGTGGGCCCCCCCCCCCGGGGATAGCTCTCGCCATTTCTTTCCAAGGGGGTGGCCTCCCCTGCAGTAGCTCTGGCTAGTTTTTTTTTCAAAGGACGTGGGACCTTCCCCGGTAGCTCTCGCATTGTCATTGTCAACCAGATTTGAAAATATTTCAACCAATATTCGAAAAGTTCAAAACAATATTTCTCTACTTAACTCCTTGGTTTCTCTACTTAACTCCTTGGTTTCTCTACTTAACTTTGTGTCAAGTATTTGTTGAACAATAAACAAACAATGTTCGAAATATTTAAAACAATATTTCAAACAATGTTCGAAATATTTAAAAGAATATTTCAAACAATTGTCGAAAGAAGTTAAGTAGAGAAAACAGGGAGTTAAGTAGAGAAAGCAAGGAGTTAAGTAGAGAATCGACGTTTTTAAGTAGAGAAATATTGTTTTGAACTTTTCGAATATTGTTTGAAATATTTCTACAATTGTTTGAAATATTTCTAAATATTTTTAGAATATTTCAAACAATGTTGAAAACATTTTGCCATGTAATAATTAATAACCAATAACATTCTAATTCCAAACCCCCCCTTTCAAAGCATTATATCGTCCCTCTCGCCTCTCGCTGTCTCTCTCTCTCTCTCTCTCCTTCTCTCTTTGTATTTCTCTCTCTCTCTCTCTCCCCCTTTCCTCCCTCCCTCCCTCCCTCAGTCAAGGTCGCAACACCGAGCACACAGCACAGCCAGGCAACAAGCACCGGGTTTGTGCAACCATCAGCCACTTTGTGCTGTTCTTCGACCTACCCTGGCCTGCGGCCGCAGCTTGCCCTATGCATCCGCTACGTGGCCTACTGCTGCATCCAGCTGCGCCGAAGTCAGGCCGTCCTTGAACTCATGGAGACGCAAGCCACCCATGGACACATGATACTCGCGCCTACCATTCACCGGCCAGTCACTGTCGCGAAGCCCAGCGACCAACCAGCGTTTGAGGCGGAGGTAGCACTCTTCTTCGGAGAACTCACCCAAAGCCAGCTCTTTCCTGCACGGCCTGAAAGCACATGTGTTCCAAGGCACATCCCAAGCCCGCATACCTTGACAATTTTCGGCCTTAAGCCCCAAACCCCGAAACCTTTGAATCGTGAACCTTCGGCCTCAAGCCGGCCTAAGGCCCTTAGAGCCTAGACCCTTGCACCCTTATATAGGCCCTAAGTCAAGGCTTAGGCCCTGGACCCTAAACCCTAAGCCTAAACCCCAAAACCCTACTAAACCCTGAACCCTAAACCTTTAGCCTTAAACCCCTAAACCGCCTAAACCCTTAAACCCTTAAACCCTAAACCCTAAACCGGGAAATCGTAAAGTATGCAAGCATCAAGCTAAGCAGCTAGGCCACAAGAGAGTAGATTAGATTAGATTCAACAGATTCAACAGTGTAGAACGATGGTTCGGGGACCCGACCTACGTGGTGGCTTTCTACGCATGCCTTGTGCCCATTATCATTATGCCAAGTGGCTTTATGCCGCCTGAGTCAGCATGTCTGCGACAGATGGCCCCGTAGGCACAAAGCACACCTTGCCTGTAAATGGGAGCAAGCTGAAACGCTGGCCTGCGGCCCCATACACGACCACGTGCCTGATGCGTCCGCTGCACATCAGTTGGAGCATGTGGCTCATCCGGCGCAACCCTCGGCCCAGGGGCCGGTGCAACAGAAACGATCGGCCTCGAGGCCCGAGCAGAGCTGCTTGAAGATGCGGCCATATCTGCTGCACTGGCCTCTCCTGCTTCGTCCTCGTTGCTGCCGTTATCGTTATCGTTATCTTCAACCCAATATGGCACCGACCCTGACGAATCGCTACCACCCCAATCTTCCTCCGGGTCTCGCACCCAAGACTTTGGCGGTACTTTGCTCGACTGGCTTGTTGAAGCTGTTTCCGTTTTCTTTGTATCCTTAGCCTTAGCATCAGGCATCTTTCTGTTCGTTTTGCTCCTGTCTGGGCCTCGCCGCCTGGCATGGGAGTCGGGCTTGGGCCTTGGATTCAACAACGACAGTGCATCGAGTGCTTGTCTGCGTTGGACTTCACTGCGATGCGCTGATTCTGCTTCCTCTGGCTCAATGTATTCTGCAGCAGTTATGTCAAATGCGGTTAGGAGACGAACCGGGCCAACGGCCAACCAAAAACACTTCCAGTCGGCTGCCTTCACCGCTAAATCCTGGCAGAAGTCGCGCAAAGACCAAAAATCCATATTGCCCCCTTCGGCTGCAAAGATACGCAACTGGAATTGAATTCCGCCTGGGACGGCTTCCTCTTCCACGGGAACCTTCCGGAGCCTGATCAGTGCCGCATCGATTGGCGGCTTCCGTGTGTTGTAAGCAACACAGACGTATTCGGTCTTGTCCGCGAAGTCCGAAGCCTGCAGTCGAAAGCGATTGCAAAGCGGTGAAATTCAGTTCCTGTTGCACAAAACTGAAGATTCAAGACTTAACTCCTAAACTAATCAGTAACTTAAGGACTTAAGGCTTAAGACTTAAGAACTCTTGCTAGATGTTATATGCTGCCCCGAAGGAAACTACACAGCTTCACTTGATCATAAGATTCAATGGAGTCAATTGAAATAAACCTTGGACAAAACCAATGGACTGGCCTGGTTTCTGCCTGGCACACACACACACACCCACGCGCACACACGCACACTCTCTCTCTCACTCACGCACACGCACACACACACACACACACACACTCACACTCACGCTCACACTCACACTCACACTCACCAACACGCACACAACCCTAAACCCTAAACTTTAAGCACCCTAAACTAAACCCTAAACCCCAAACCCTAAACACAAAAAGTCATACATATATGAGAACATATATTATATGTATATACACAATGCAATTAAGTCATAAGTCAGTCATAAGTCACACACCCAGTCGACTGCTGCTGTAAAGAAGCGAAAGCTAGCACCATAGGCTCCTCGGCGGCAGTGAGCGGCAAAGGAGCATAGCTCATGATGGTATAGATGAGCACCTTCAACAATGCATCAAAAACCGCCTTTTGGTCTTCTGATAATCTGGAAATGCAAGACCTGGAGGAGCAAAGGGCAAACAGGTTGTGGGCGCACTCGGGCCATACATCCATGGAGTCGAAGTTTTCTGGCTGTAGAAGATTGTGTTGCCAGCAAAAGTCCTTCACCATATCTTTACGCTTGTCCATGTGCTTGGTGACGATATGTCGGGAGAGAGGAAACCCATCTGAAGAACCCAAATTCCATGGTCCGCCAAGTACATTCGAAACTGGGCCGATGGCCACCCGCTGCTGCCGATTCCTCCCCTTAGCAAGGAACTTCCAGCGCCGGCGTTCGTCAGCCGAAAGCACACGCCAGGCTCTTGTCGCCCGGGCGAGCTGGGCCTCACCAGCCTCCTCGCCTCGGAGGTGATCTCGAGAAGACAGAAAGTCTTCAGTGAAGATGTGCAGGCCGGTTAGTGCCCGTCGCTGGCGGCCGGCAAAGGCCCAGAGAGGCCGATGTCTCTGGCTTCGGGGCCGTGCAATATTGCCCTTTTTCCTCTCCTTCTCTCTCCAGCTTTCGACCAGGCTGCCAAACGTGTTGGTGAAGTGTTTCGCCACAAGCTGCGACATATGCAACTTGTGGCCCTTTGTCTCAACCCATTTCCCGAATCTCGCAAACATCCTTTCCACGTATGTAGATGTTGGCACAACTCGGTCAAAGACCCCTCGAAGAAAATGAAGGGTTTCCTGACTGGCCAAGCTCTCAGGACTTGAACAAATGTTGAACAGTTTGGCTGTGAAGCCATCAAGGCAGCACGGCTTTATCGCTAGAAGTTTCTTGGCTGACTCTAGGCGCTCGTCTTCGGAACCTTGGAGAAACTCCGTAAGTTTCCAGGGGTACCTTTCCCAGGTTTCAATCAGCTTCCGCCACATCTGCCCAGTCAAGGTCACAACGCACCTGCGAGTCGTGCGAAGCTTGTCCTGAGGCCACAGCAAAATATCAGCTCCACGGCCAGCTGGGGTGTAGGAGCCTTGCAAAGGAAGCCATAAGTCATGGGATGGGTCAGCCAGTGCGTTGCCCAGCAAACGAATGCATTTTGTGGCAGGGCTAAGAGCAGCATTAATGAAGGCCGCGGTCGAGCTCAAATCGTCCTCGGGCTCAGGCTCGTCAGGCCGGCTTCGCTCGCAAAACCACGTTGCTCGTTTAAATAAAGCAAAGTGAATCTTCATGACGGGAGCGGTAACAACAGCCCACAGCAAAGTGCGAAAAGACGAAGCTTCATCCGAAAGATACACGCCTGCCTTGCGCTGCCTTTTCCTGGCCAAACGACGCCATTGCTTCGTCTGGTCGATTGGCTGACCAAGCTGAGCCGCTTCGTCCTGTTCGTCTTCTGAAGATGAACACCGCCCAGAGGGCTTGACGGGAAAGCATTCTCTGAAAACCTTGGGAAAGATCCCGCAGAAGTGCTGCATAGCTGCCACCACGGTAGCAGAAGGGGACACCGTGGTCCACTTGTTCAGTGCAGGGATACTGAGCTGATTCATGAACAAATCTCGCGAAAGACGAACCGCTTTCTGAACACTCTCGGCCCTGCCTGCACAGCATCCTCCTGCGCAGATGTGAGTTGGCGGTCCTGCGCAAAGCGAAAGTCGTGGTAGAGTCCGATGCTGACACTACATGAACTACAGTGCTGAAACATATCATATTACATTGGTTTGGGGCTCCCCTTGAGCGTAAACTGATCGGGGGTGATGGGTGGCGGCAGTTCGTGCTATCGTGACGAGTTACGACTGCTACGGGCTTCGGTGCCGAGTTGCAACCAATTGGAAAAATGGAATCAGGATTTATCGCTGCAAGGCTGAAGCTGTACGGGGCATGGCATGGTGTAGTCAGTCTACCTTCGTTAGATTTCATTGACAGCATCGATCAAGCCCAGGAGTTGTCCACAAACGAAAAGACAGCGGCACTGGCAAGTTGCAACACATGATCCAAAAGCAAAGGTCTCTCTGTTTTTGCACTGCGGCAACGCAGCGGTATGCTCGGCGACTCTGCGCACACAAAACGAAAGCCATTCTCGTTCCGGCTATTGGTCCAGCTAGGGTCAAGCACTCGGTGCCATTGCACTATTCTATTTTGTGTTCTACAACTATCGACGGCCCATAACCATACCTTCAATAACCGTTATTCAATGACAAACATTGGCCTGAGGCCTGACCCTGCCTCAAGCTTCGAGAAAACTGCCGAAACGGGCACGGCACTGCAGACAGTAGTCTACTCGGCGTGCGCAGAAGTCGCAAGAGCTGTGAAGCCAAAGTTACACGTCCTTCACGAAGCTGGGGTCAGGCACTCGGTGCAAACGTGCGTTGACACCATAGATTATAAGTCGTAATGTACACACCATCACAAAAAAGGAGGGGTGTTAATGAGTACCCAACATTGACCTGAGGCCTGACCCAGCGTTTCGCGAAAATGACAAAAGCGAGCACGGCATGCCCGGACGAACCGGGTGAGCCATGAGGTCGGTGACTTCAGGAACAGATAGCAGGGTGCAGGCAGTTGGTCAAGCTTACAGAAACATTGTAGAATTATAGCAATGCTTACAATTTCGGATTTCATGCTGAACCAACACTGACCCAAGGCCTAAGCCCTTCAGTTATTGCGCGCACGCCAGCGCGTATCCTGATCATAATACTTGGTCGGAGGTGGCTTGTTGGGCCGCCCACCCCAACACTCCTGAAGATACATGGCCAATGCCACCTTCGAGGCAAGGGCGAAGTCAATGCAGTTCCTGCCGCTCGAGCCCGGACTGTTTATCAAATCCGTCACCATCCTGTATGCCTCCTGGGTTTCTCCCATTTTGGAATACCTCAGTTCTGTCTGGCATTGCAAAGTTACATCAATAAGCTTACTTTTGATCCCCAAACTGCAAAAGGGCACTGGCTGACCTGTTGCTCTCGAAAACACGCAAACCAACCTATAATATATTACTATATTAAGTTGTTTTCTCTTACCGCTTTCTGCAAGCTAGCTGCAGGCCATAGCAGATCCTCTTGGCGAAATACATATTGCCCTGACTGCAGACCAAGTGAAGACACGTGTTGCCGCTCAAAGTCCTCACAGAGAAAGTCGATGGCTGCGAGGCCCAAAGCAACAAACGAAGTACCAGGCATTGGTCATCTGAGCCAGTCCAGTTGTCGCTCAGAACCATCATGGGCGTCCAGTTGGCTGGCCGGCCGTCAGCACGTGTCACCTTGTCCGCAGCCGCTGGGTTGATCTCCAGGATCTTCTCAACGACGGCAACGAGGCCCAACTTGGCCGCATGATGCAATGCGTGCATCCCATGAGAGTCAACGAACTGCATAACCGTCGTCGGGTTGCTCCTCTCCAAAGTCTGAACTGCCCGGTCCGAGTTCATAGACAAAATCGCCTGCAAGAGATCGTTGCAGAAGTCTTTCGAATACTCCTGCTCTTCCATCCGGGTCAACGCTCTCTGGGTTTCAAGCCGCTGTTTTTCCAACAGCTTCAAGATCCGCTCGAGCACTTCCGGGGAGTCTGCACCAGCAGACTGCAGATCCTGCTTAACCTCCTCGAAGCTCGGCATCGGATCCTCTGCCTCCTCGTCATCACCAGGGGGTTGATAGTCTGCAGAGTCCTCGCTCTCGTACCCGGGTTCGCGGAATTCGTAGCCACGGCCTGCCAAAGTCATGTTTATTGCCATTTGAAGTATGAGGTTTCAGGTTTCAACGACGAGCACACTAGCAGCGAGCACACATAACGTAAAAGTCGTAGAACCCAGCTAACACTTAAGACTTAAACTTAAACCTTATGCCTTATGATGACTTATGCCATATGCCTCATGCTTAGACAAGCCGCCTCGAGGCGTGTCTGCGCGGGCAGCCGGGCTGCCTGCTCGACTCGCTCGACCCTGGCCAGAGGCCGCACCGGCCCCACCAAGGCCAGAGGCCGCAGCAGCGGCCACACCCTGGCCCGAGGCCGCACTGCCCCGTGGGGTAGCACTGCCAGAAGCTGGGGCGCCCTTGCTCTTCAGCTTCACGTCCAAGTCGGTGAGATCCTTCATTACCTTCTGCAACTTGTTGAGCGAGGCTTCGGTGTCCTCCTCGGAATGCATGGACTCCTCCGACCCAGTGGCACCCCTCATCCTGCGTTGCTTGATACTGCGCAGCGTGTCGGCTGCATCGGACTCGACATCGAAGGCCTGAACGTCATCGTCCTGCCATTTGCACAATGTTACACTGATGCAATTACAGCTGCCACGGTTTGCAAGGCGATTTAGTAACTTAATAACTTAGTAACTTAGTAACTTAGTACATACACGGGACTTTTCGCCTTTGAGTTGTTGCAAACAATGCAACTGAAAGCCCCTAGTCACAGGATACCCCCCTTTCATGTTCCCCGACTCAGACTACAGGAACACCACGTTATCATTGTCTGAGATGCTATGACTGATTCTGACATGATGTCACACGACTCATGACGGGAGGCCCTGCAAGAAACTAGAAACGACGACAATGTACGATGAACCCTGCTATGCCATGTTATTGGCCCCCTGTCCTGCAGGTCCACCATCTCGTAGGAGGTCACCGTTTCCAGGTCGTCGTCCGAGCCCTCGTGCCCGGACACAGACCCGGCCAGAGGCCCAAAAGAAGACCCGGCCTGAGGCCCGCTGCCGCCAAGGCCCCTCTTCTTGGGCTTCGGCTTTGCCGTGCCCACGAACAAGCCCGGCCTTGCGGCCGGGATCGTCGAGAAACCCAGCTCCAGGCATCGCTGGGTGAACAGCTTCGGCGTCACCAGCTCGTGAACACCGCACAGAGGCGAAAGCACCGGCGCATACTTCGCGGCCTCTGCCGCCAAAAACTGTGCTGATGAGCGCGAAAGGACGCGCCCCGCCTTGGCCGGGGGGAGGGAGTGGAAGTCTGCAATGTTGCGACAGGCACAAACATAGTTCATCAGCGTCTCGGCATCAAGGCCCGTCAAGCGAATCAGAACAAGCAAGAGCAGGATCGACGAGCGATGAGCCCCGTTTTTGCAACTGATCAGGACACTCTTACCCTGGACTAAGTCCGAAATGATGGCATCCACAAGGGGGAGGACGTCCTGCGTGGGAATGTCTCCTGCGAGCGCAGTCTAATATCAAGATTCTCCAAAACGGCTCTTTCTAACCGATATCTGGCATACATGGGCATTGGGTCGGGTTCGTCCTTATCCTTATCTTACCTACCTCCTAATGAAGTCAGCAGCCCGGTCCTTGAGCGATTCCTGTGCCGTCCTTGTACGGGTACACATAGATCCCCATACTCTCTGCCACCACTGGGGAACGGGCTGCTGGGGCAACAACGGTGATGTTGTGCTTTTCCAGGGTCGTCACATCAGAGGAAGCTGCTTCGCCGCCCAACCACAGTTTGCCCCCGGAACCATGGCCAGCAGCCGCAAGCTGCTCCATGTCCAGGATCAGGTGAAGTGGGTGACTGCAGGGGCTCAAAATCACAATCAAACCATCATGACCATGGCATACTCTGCGACAACGGACTAGAACAAACTTAATGAACAAACAAAACATACACCAACTCTATCTATCCTATGCCAAGGCCTGAACAAGTTATAACAGTTATAATTTTACACACCTTTTTCCCGTACCACACCTGCTGTTGTACACATTGCGTGCCCAACTCACGGCGCGCACATTGCCATAGCTGTCGGCCACCAACGTTTTGAGCAGCTTCTGCAAAGCCGCCTCAAGCTTGGCAGGATTTTGAATCATGTCCAACGACGGCCAAAGGCCCTGCGTTTGGGCACGTCGAAGATCATGATGGAAGAAGACACTCGAGAGGCCGTGTCGGATGCACGATTGCGAAAGCTTACTCAAGGTAGGAGGCATCTGCTCCTCGGTCCACCTACACTGACTGCACTACGACTCGATAGCTGCCCAAGCCCGTGCTTCGGTGGACAGCACAGGCAGCATGTATCACATCAGGTCATGTGCACTGAGCCCATGCCATGAATGAATGACTGTGGTCAGGGTCATCACTCCGTAATTTGCCTAATCCATTCGCAACGTGATAGCTGCATAGCATAGCACAGTGTTGGAATACCCACACACACACACGTTTCTTCAGCTACTGCTCTACACTCCACACCGGCACCAGCAACTAACGACGGAGACTGTATTACTCTATCTCCATCTGACATCTGAATTCTGAACTTGAACTTGAAATACAAATTGATGTAATTATTTTGAATCTGAAGCTCCTCAATCACACGAGACACGAGATACGGAATGTCGGTCCTCGCCAAGGCCCAGCGAAGAACTCCAAGAACTCCTTCGCAATCTTGGCCCGCTTACCCGGCTCTTCTTCCGAAGAACCGCACGCACCTGCGTTGTTTGAGTTTGCAGCAACAAGATCGAGCAGTGCCTTGGAACAACGACGGCCAAAGGCCCACTCTTCCTGCAACCCAGGTGGCTCGCCTTGCCTGACGACCAATGTTTGGGATATCACACGCTCAAGGGCACGAACCAGCTGCTGAATCGCAGATCCAGCCTTCATGGTCTTCGCCACTGCGAATGAACCCGGGATTATCCCTAAAAGCTTGCTCACTCGCTCAATAACATTCCCATTCATATGTTGTGCACATAATGTGGGCAGCAACAGCACGTCATCCGGAGTGACTGCTAGCAGGTGACGAAGAACTTTGAGATTTGCCGCAGCCGCGTCACACGTGACGAGAACGGCTTTGAAGCCTGCTTCCACCTCGCAAATGCCGGGCATCAACCCCCCAACTCCGTTACACAACGCCGGCCACATTGTGACAGCTTGCTTAGTTGGAATTACCATTGGAGGCCGCATGATATCAAAATCACGTTCGGAGCCTTCACCAGAAACCGCAATCGTCAACTGGGTATGTGAAGCCAATATATTCCACTGCGCTGGCCCGAAATCTCGCACAGACACTTCAAGCTCCGTCTCATCAAACATCATATTGCACAACACAAAAGACAACCGTCCCCCTGCATCATGTTGAGCTTGTGCGACCTGGCGTGCCCAACCCTCGTTCTGCTCTTTGTCCAACGACGCGGCTATAAAGCTGCGGGTTTCCCTGGCATATGAACCACTGCTCCCGTCTACTTGTGCTGCAACGGCCCTAGCTGGAAGAACCTCTTTGGCAAAAGCTGCTCGCAGGATTGCTTCTGGGGTCCAGACTTTCCACTGGCCTTTGCCACAGATTCGAGGCCTGGTTGCCTTGATGTCTGTGGGAACCAGATGGTCCATGGTCCTACTTCTTCCCAAAGCATTGCAAGTCTGTGCCTGCAACTCAAAGCTGGCCAAATTGCGCTGCACCTTGCGTGAACGCTGGCCAAAGGCCCGACTTCTCTGCTGTTGAGCCCGAAACGCCCCTCGGGGGTTTCCTTGTCCTGGACCCTGGCCACCTGCCGCTGCCGGTTGGCCTGGCTGGTTTTGCTGAACTGCCATGGCGGCAAGGCGTATGAGCTCCATGGTTTGTGGGCCTGGTCGCACTGCTATCGAAAGCGACGGGGAACTCGAGAAACCTATACAAGTATTAAGTATCTATTGTGTATTGCCTATTAGCCGATTGCAACCTATAATGGTACCTATCTGGTCTATCTATAGCAGATCATAACCCAGGGGCCAATGTCACAGAACAATGCAGCACGGGTCACACACACACACGTCCCAAGAACTGCTTCTCGCATGGCCATGATGCACGACTTCGGAGCAAACAACAACATTGTAACACCATGCACTAAGTTTGATAGGACATGTTCAGCTTGAACACTATGTTTCAACAAGTTCAAAGAAATATTTAAAAACACACAAAACACTTCAGCCATTTCAAGGAAAGATCACGCAAAATATTTCGCCAATTTCACAGAACTAGTTGAAATATTTAAAGAATATTTCAAATATTTAAAAGAATATTTAAAACATTTAAAAGAATATTTCAAATATTTAAAAGAATATTTCAAATATTTAAAAGAATATTTCAAATATTTAAAAGAATATTTCAAATATTTAAAAGAATATTTCAAACATTTAAAAGAATATTTCAAATATTTAAAAGAATATTTCAAAAATATAAAAGAATATTTAAATATTATGTCCCGGATTATAGTGAGGTGCCCCACCGGCCCTTTTAAAAACACTCAAGTCTTAGCGGCAGCCTTGTGGGACTTCGAGTCTCCCGGCCCCGGCACTGCCAGGCAAGCACACATCGACTGAACTGGCCTGACCCATACATACTGTTCACCTGCAACCCGAAGCAAACAGCAGACATCAGCAGACCCTCCGTCAATTGCTCACCGTGGTGCACAAGCCTCAGAGCAACACGCTCTCCAAACAAGCGAACCGGTTGCATGGACAGTCAACCGCCATGTCAACTTCGTCCAACTTGTGGGCGTAGTTAGTCGGCGTGAGGCGCTAAATTGGGTGCGGGGTCCAAATCTGAGTCTCTGGGAGCCTTTAGCACTCCAGGAGACTTTTCCAAAAGCCAAAGTCGCTGTGCTCAGGGCACATTGGTAGGGACTTTTTGTAAAACTTCATTCAGGCTCACCGCAGCTGCAGAAAGCTCCAATCCAAAACTTTGGCAAAGCATCCCGACCCTTGAAGCTGTGCCTGCAGTGATGCGCGGGTCGACCTCGAAGGCGCAGATGAGTTCGGGACGTTGTGTAAAGGCTCCCGCAATCTACCCTAGTTGGTTGCCTTGGCTAGTCTATATACGAATTCGCGAAGTCATGTATGCATGAACCGGGAGTTCGTATCCCGTTTCATATGAAACGAGCGCGATGGCTTGTCAGTGTCATGGCTTCCTCTTTCTCGGAACAAAAACCTCTTTCTGTTTCAAGTTCAAGCTCTCTCATTCCCACGCTCCCCACGATATGACAACTAATCTCTTGGAAATGCGGAGTCAGAGTCACTTCTACCAATGATTGCCTTTCGAGATGCTTTCTTGCTCAGCATCCTGGATTGCACCTCTGTCCTGCCTCTCTCCTTCCGTGACTCGGCCGTCCTTCCTCCTTCCCTCACTCTCCAGTCACCCGGCTTCCAAATCATTGCTGCTTGACACGAGTGACCAAAACTCACTTGTTCTGTCACGTAACATCGCCAGGCCTGGACTAGGCTACATCTGGGGCCCCGCACCCCAGAGATTGAGCAGAAGAGATTGGCCCGAATCTGCCGAAGAGCTTCTGTCGTCGCGGGGAGAGTGCCTGGACAGAGTGGGCTTCCGAGGTTTCGAGGTGTCCAGGTGATTATGCGTATGGCATGTTGCAGGCTGAACTGGAAATACCTTCGCACAACCGGTCAGCCACAATCCCACAGACCTCACAAGCAGTTTTCACACTGGAAAAGGAGAAACTGGTGCTGGCCTTGAAACTTGAAAGCCCGTGTAGGGCCTGTAGTATAGGAAACTACACCTAATGCTCGGCCAAAGCCACGGCTCCGCCGCTGAAGGAGCTGCGAGAGCTCGTCAATGAAGCCACACCTATGCCCGACCGAAAGCAGAGACGGTTGCAACCGAAGAGGCCCAAGTCGGAGCCCGAATGATTTCGAATGAGTCCGGTCAGAGTCGAAACTTGAAGCCGGGAGGGAGCAAACACAACTGCACATGCCGGGACTGGGATTTGGAGTCAGATTATCGATTCGAATCCTCCAGCAGGGCAAGGTGTACATTAAACAGAAAGACCGACCCTGGGCAGTCTGCACCCATTGCAGACACTTAACAGAGGTGGCGAACCCTCTGGCAAGAAGTCTTCCTAAGCAGCAACCGGCCCCTGCGCAGTGATGTGCGGCGGTGTCGCACCCTGAGCCTGCACTAGCAGTTTAACACCTTTTAATCCCCCATTTCCTGCGCAATGTTTGCGACCGCACGACTTCTGGAAGTTCAACGCAGGCCCTGATCCCCTCCGCCAGCCGCTAGCTAAAATCTCGAAGACGCCAATGCAAACACTAAACAACTCATGAATCTCACGCCCCAGGTAGGAGGCGTAGCCCCCAAGTGCCCTGAAGCGCGTTGACATCCCACAGCTCCCCGGAAATGCAGGTCTTGGGTCCCAGACTGGTCGGAGACATCAACCTCAGCCATGCACCCAATCAACACTTGCAACCCCTCAGCTGCATAAAACCTCGGCTAGCTCACTGGCCCTTGTCCACATGCAGGGGACCTCAGGTTGCTTCCACGGAGCCTTATGAAACTAAACTACTTCCTGTTCAAACTCTACGTGTGTTCACGAGTAATCAGAATGTCTTCTGCAAGAGGCTTCGACAGATAGGTGAAGGTATGTGAAGGTTTAGTGGACTCGTGAGCTCCAACCGAAAACCCATTTTTGTTTTGCCAGCAGGGTCCTGCTAGACGCTTTCCAAAATTTTCTCCGCAAAGCCCTCAATGCTGACGCCCCGCTTCGTCCTATCCTCAAGCCCGGATCCCCCCAAAGAACGTGCTCGATGCCATGAGCAGGGAAACCCGAAGAGCCTGTGAGAATTGACCAGTTTCTGTTCTTGACTTAACTGACGTCTTGATAAACAATATGTTCATGCTGGCCTCAGCCCAGTTCTGGCCCCATACATGAGGGGCCCGCTCGCATGTGTCATGCAATCCTTCATTCAAGTGCAACAACACACGAGGCACGGAGACAACAAAAATTCATCTTAAAGCACGACATGCAAAGAGGTCTCATTCTTGCCTCGTGCCTTGCGAGGCGACAGGCAACAACATCTACTTTACTTGCGGTCAGATGAGGACATTTGACAGGACTGTGTGGAGAGTCAAACATGTTACTCTTTTGCCCAGAACCTGAAGCGCCCTAAGGCGCAATACACGCGTAGCTCCAGCCGGGCCCCCAACGGAGGCTCGAGCCCGGCCATCGGAGTCCAAAGGTTCGGCTTGCCGGTGGCTGTGGGGGTCGGCTGCCGTGGTGTGGTCGGGTAGAACCTTGTTCAGGTTGAGGCTTTGGGATGGCTTCTAGGGCTGGTTGTGTCTATCGCGAGATCTGGCTCAGGGTGTGCCAACACCGCGTGGAGCCGATGATGTTGCGTTCAATATTTTTTTATGCATTCATAAACCAAGGGGGGGTCTTGAAGTCTTTTCCGAAACAGGCATTGGGCTCAAATCCAGCACAGTTCCATGAACATCGAATTGTAAGGGCTTTGGGCTCAGGGTTCCAGCGCTGCACAAACCACCCTGAACTGTCGGCCCTGCTGCTTGGGCATCTTGACAGTCCGTCTTCAGGCGAGCAATCATAGCACCCAAAGGCTGCGACGAATCGAGAAGCCAACTCCCGGGTACAACCAGGCCCGGCAGCATGCCAAGTATGTGTCTGGTGCGACATGCCTCCGTGGCATCATATTCCATCACGGAGGATGTCACAGGCCCCTAATCCCTTCATCCGTGTAATAACTCCCCGCTTAATGCAAAAGAATTCCCCGGCCAGAAAAAATTCCAAAAAGTTCAACATGATCTAAATTGAATTAGGGGTCAGGTAGGATGGCGATCACGGATTTGGAACTACCAGGCTAGGGTCGCATGGAGAATTTGGACGGCCGGCGTGGAGACATGGAACGCGGCGTCCGAGGGAGTCCGGATGTGGCAATTTCAGGGTTTAGCTGTCTAGAATTTGGAATTCCCAGACTAGGGTCGCATGAAGAAGTCCAACGGCCATTGCTGTCTCGAATCCGGAACTCCCAGGCTAGCAGTGTGGTGCGAATGATCACTGCCAATGCGCACCCCGCTGCGTAGCCTGGGAGTTCCGGATTCGAGGCAGCAATTACTGTCCTAGCCTGGGAGTTTCTCGAATTCTGGATCCCGTGCTTTTCTAGACTCGACACGAAATCCCCCTAATACAAGACATTGAAAGCCCAAAATCATTCTTTGTATTTGGGCGGGAAGCTTTATTAAATTAAATGGATGAGGGGATTAAGTCTCTCTCTCTCTCTCTCTCTCTCTGAGGGTCTAGCAACGCCAGGAAACACACTTGTTGTATCTCTGCCACTTGAGTTTCGACAAGTAGGGCACTGAAGATGGCTCTGAAATTTCCGACGTTGTGGTTTGACAAAGGTCCGGGGCCGAGAGACTCGAAACCCGGCAACGACACGCACGTGACAATCCACCGGCAAACCTCGTGCACTCAACAGAAAGGCGCAAACTCGAAGTCTAACCACTCAACTTTCCAGCCATGCAGCGTTGCAGGAACAAAGCGATCTGCGTTTACTCGGCGAGGCCTTGGACGGTGTCAGTGTTTGCTTCCCACAACGCATGATCGACGGATCAGCTCAGCCCAACGATGACTTGATTGACTCTCTCAAAAATGCAAGCAAACCCGATGCAATGGCTTCCAAAATCCTGTGATACTCAGACTTTGGCTTCTGCATAAGTGACTGACTCCTGTACCGAGCCACCTCCTAACAATCACTTGTGGGGCTTGTGGTGTCAGGTTTGATTGCTTAACGAGGCTTAGGGA